TACTGTAAACAGTATAGAAAGCTTCTCATTTTCTGTATTTAAGAAAATGTGCAGAAGCAGTGTTTTACTTATCACACGGTGTTGTGTAAGTTCTGTCTAATAGGTGATCTTTTTATTTCCAGTAACCAATGGAAAACATGAAATTGTTCCCAAAGACATAAGAGAAGAAGCAGAAAAATATGCCAAGGTAAGGTCTGACATCACTGATGTCATCTCAGTGCTGCTCTTGACAAGTCTGGAATAGAATGAAGTAAGGAGCAGGATTGTAGCATTGCAATGACTAGAAAAGGTGTAGTTACACAAATCACTTGTACTTAGGATATCTCCTGATGAGAGAACTGTGAAGCTCTCTCCATGTAATCCAGAGGTAGTTCATTCTTTTAAAAAACAGTGCATGGCAGCAGGCTTGCCCATCTCATTTCTCCTTCAGAAATGAATGTATGAACTCTTCAGTAGTTCATAAGCAAATGGGAAATGCAGCAAGTCATGTTAACTAAAATGCATTTTATAAAGGCAACCAACTGGGGAAAGCTGCTCCTCCAGCATCTGACAGCTTTGCATTTGCTTTAAAAGCAGTAGGGATTCTTAGCAGAATAGAATTCTTAAGTAGAAACCAGGCCTGCTGAATAGCAGCCTTTGTATACATGGAAAAAACTGTAAAACAAAAGCAAAACTCCCTTTTTTAATTAAACTCTTTTTTCTAAATAGGAATCTTTGAAAGAGGAGGATGAATCAGATGATGAAAATATGTAACACATTGTTACTTCAAGACAAGTTTGACTTAGTACAGGTTTGTTTATAATGTATTAGCCATGGGATGCTCCTATGTACTGCTGGAGGAAACTGAGTGACCAACTTGCACTAATAAATTTTCCATTTTACTGTCTGTTAACTTTTATTTCAAAACAAGGTAGGATTGATATTATCAAGAATGCATCTGTATTCTAAACCGTGCTATATATCAAAATGGTCATTAAGAGGGGAAGATGTGATCATGCTGCTGTAGCTGCTGCTTACCACAGCAGAACTTTGGAACCAGGCTAGATACAGGAAAGGCAGCTGCTTAGGGATCTTGCATGTCTCTTGTTTACAGCTGTTCCTGGCTTAACCAGCCAGTGTCCTTATTCTCAGTTGTCACAGCAGCAGCTTCCAGTTCTTGGGAGAAGAGATAACCAGCTCCTTTACAACTTGATCTGCTATCAGTTTAGGTGACAAATACAGCTGACAACTTCAACCAGCCTCCAGAAAAACACTTTAATTTGAAGTATTAAGCCCAAAATGGGACTAATGAAAAGTAATTCCAAATAGTCCTTGTGTTAAATTGCAGAGCTGAATTGTTTACTTTTTGCTGTTTTATTCTAATTATATAACTTAATAAATGTAAAGCTGAGATCTGTTAACAGCTTCACCAGTGTAGTTCCGTAAATCAGTTCTGAATACATTGTTGGCCTTCCTAGGAGCCAAAAAATAATCCTTCATGCTTTCTCTTCCTAGTTCTCAGGAAATTAGACAGTCACAAGTCTTGAAACAACGTACTAAATTCATCTGTTTACCATTTCAAAACTCAAAACACAGGTCTTGTGCACATACCTAAAATTCTAATGGTCATCTTTAGTCTGAAATGCATGCTTTCTTAATGAATCAAATGCTTCAGTAATACATACTATCAGTAATGACAAGCCCTTCAAAAAAGAAAACCTCCCTCCCTTTAGTTTTAATAGTTTTTGTACTTTTAAAAAGCTCCCATGCTTCCACAGTCTCTTTTCTAATGGCATTATAGGATATAGGTTGTTTCTTTTTGGTGGCAAGTAAAGGAAATTGAGATAGATGGTTGTGTGTCAGTGCTTAATGACAGTCTCAGGGTTTAGCCTGGGCTGGAATCCAGCCACATGGAACCCTTGCCTTTCCAGCTTAGCACAGTTGTCAAACTGCTACAACTCTATCAGGTCTCCCTGAAGTAAGATTAATCATGACTGATGAACAGCTTCCTTGAGTGCTGTCTCCTGAGGCAACAGTATAGTGATATATGAACCTGAGTCAGGCTTTAGTTTTGTGTTACATTCAGTCTGAATTTACTACTGAAGCTTATTGCCAGTTTAGGTCTTCTGAGTCAGTGAAATCCAGTCAGTAAACTAATCTCAGCCTAAAGCATGTGCTGAGGACTGATCTTCCACTTGCTTTAATGCAACAACATGACTCCCTGATTGTAAACCTGAAACCTTGCTGATAAGGTGTAAGTGAAAATAAAGAGCTATCCCTATAAGCAGCTACACCTTTCTAATCCTTTCAGAGCCATTTAGGACTGGGTACAGGAAATGTAACAGTGTTACAAGTCATGTTACTGGGTTAAGAGAGAAGGGCAAGTTGAGCTGTAATTATAGATACTTCTTATCCTTCAGGCTTAAACAGTATCTAGGAGTCAAGACTTAAAAGCTCAGAGATCCAGGTACCTGAAAGCTTCCATCAGACTCCTGTAGCTTCACACCCAGGGCATGCCTGACAAAGTACATATGCTCAGCATCTGCAGAGAGGAAGGCCTAGAAGAGCTGTCACCCAAGGCAGAGTAGCCACATGCTCCCACCTTTTAACATGCCAGGTGACTGGGGCAACCAAATCAGTGCCCCTATTCAGAGCTGACTGGAACAGATGCAGGCTCAGTGATATACTCAACAGACCTGACAGCAGCTGTCTGTAATAGGGCCTCTGAAGAGTCCCAGAAGCAGCATTGCCTTCCTGCAGAAATAAGGTCTCAGTCCCCTTCTCTGAAGAAGGGAGCTTCTATGGTTGGCCTGGAAATGGTTGTTTTTAAGTTGAGTTTAACAGTGAAATGCAAGAGTATACTGTAAGGATAATGAACATGCCCTCAGTAAGGCAGAAGATTTCTGAATCTCTGATTTCAGCAAGAGGCGATTCTTAACATTCATTTTTACTATTCCTGACAAGAGTACTGGGAGGTTTTAGTTCTGAAGATACTAGAAAGGCATAATTAGCCCATACCATGGCAGCATTTCTTGCTTCAGGCTTAACAAGTAACCTACTTGGTCTGGGCTCTGGCCATTTATGGGAATACATAATAGAACAGAAAGTCACATACCCACTTGGAATGCACAACTGCAGTTCTTGCCATGCTGGAACACAACTTCAAAGTATTAAAGGCAAATACCATTGCTTGAGAACCAAAGTTCATGCTCTAATGGAACACCAGAAGAAAGCTGGTCTATACAATTGTTTATCTCTTAGCTTAAAGTCATCCTTCCATTCCACCACAGAAAGGGTTAGAAATGCACAGATCCAACAAAGAAGGGTAGAATGTACATGAAAATCCCTTTTCTCCCAAGTCTCACTTACCCACTGATAGTTATACAGCAGCTGATGAATCACTGCTGCTGTGATGTACAGCTAGGTATGTCACAGTCCCTGTTACAATTAGTCACTATGTCCACACACAGAGGTGGTGTTCTAGAAAATTAAGGGGACTGAGGTGAACCTCAGGTGCCAAATTTAAACATACTCCCATATCTAGTTTACATTTATCTCCATGACTGCTTTTAGGACTTACAGCTCTGCCTGCAGTGTTCAAAAAACAGATCACATTTTAACTGCAGCATCAGAGTAATCCATTTTCATGGACTGCGCTGTTTTCACAGGATTTTGGATAACATCTTCATTCAAAGTTTTGTTACTACTGATTGATTAAATTATTTTAAGATTGAGCTGTTGGAATATCACAGAAACAACCCACGTGTAAAGTTTATGGTATGACAGATAAACATAAGGAGAGCTTCACAATAAATACTACTCACCTGTAGTTGGTGCTGACTCAGAAAGGAAGCAGTTCAAACAATTAATTCCAAGCAGATCTGAGCTATGCCAGGCATCAGGTCATTTATCACTTCTCATAACCAAACATAGCATGATGGCCTAAGGTTAAATCCCACTGCTTCCCTGCAAGTTCCACTGCTCATGTGGGTACAGTAATAGGCGAGATGCTATTTGGCCATACAGCCCTGGTCATCTCTGAGGAAGGGGCTTTAATATAACTGCACATGGTAGTGCTTTTCCTTAAGATTTAACTGTTAGCAGTAGAAGGGTACAGAAAACAGTGAACTGCTTAAGATGTATCGTTGAATGATAATCATAACCCAGAATTTCAGGACTGAAGATAAAAATAGGATTTGAGTGCATAACACCACCAAACACAGCAGAGACCATTCTTTCCCCCTCCTCCTCTTTCTATTGCACATCTCTGAGATGATGACTAGTTGTTACTCCACACAGCAGTTTTTCAAGTTAGGTGCAGTAAGGAAGTTACCTTTACCTAACAAAGGACAGCTATTTTGAGACATTTACTGCCTCTACCTTTCCCTATTAGATGATCTTGCCATCCCTTATTTCCAGTGACACAGAGCTGCAGGGAACAGGCTGTAGAAGAGGTAAAGGGTGGAGCCTTACTGTCTGTCTAGTAAATGCATGACAGTATTTGAGAACACAGGACCTACAAGTGAGCTCAAAGTCTCTCATTTCCAGATGCAGTGCTCTTTCATCTTCATACTGCTATTAAAGGACTCCGAAGCAGTTGTTTAAAAATGGTTCTTAGGATTGCTGTACAAACCAAAAATGGACAACTAGAATAAAGCAGACAGCAGCCTTGCATAGTTTGTAGTCCAAACACATGCATGTCATCAGATATAGGGAAAAGTTAAATCCTCTGAAGTTTCTCCTAAAGGTAGTATAAGAACTACCCACAAATGACACTATTTTAATTGACGTGGTAAGACAGGCCAAATAAAAAGGTTAGGTAAAACATGGGCTGGTTTACTTTTGCATAAAATTAGACCACATTTTATGACACATACAGGCTGCAAGTCCAAAAATCACTCAGATTTCTCTTTCAACAACAGATTTTGCTAAAAGTAGGTTAAATTATAGTAGATTCACACAGAAACCAATACATACAAAAAAAATCAGTAATTCCTAAATTAAAACCAGGAAAAAAAATGAAAGTAAAACATGTCCTTTCTGCAAGATTTTTAGAAAAGCAGGAATCTGCTGCTTTCATTATTTGGGGCAAGACTGAGACACGTTAACAGGTTTCAGCAGACACTAGATGACTTCAACAGCATGCTTACATAGAGCACCAATTCAGCTCTCATTGTATGCATATCCACACTCTGCAAATAGTGCCACTTTTGGAAGCTCTTTTTCCCCCCCAAATTCGTTACAGGAATAGAAGAAACCTGAAATACTGTCTCAGGAAGAGAAATCAAAGCATAGCTTCACGTGTTCCCAGTAGGAAAGTCAGTTTAACAAGCAACTACATTCCCCAGCCAAATTAGAGTTGAAACAATACTCTCATACCAGTTTGTCACCCCGTTCTGCTTCATGCAAGGAAGAAACTGCTGTCCTCTAATAAAAGATGCCTTTCATGGATTCAGTATAGTTAGAACTTGCTAAGAAGACATGTGTTTTGTTCTGGAAATCAACAGAACACAGCTTATAACAGTGGCTCTGTTTGCAGTGCAGCTGTACTAGCAGTACACCACACAGAACTGCAGTTCCAGACAGGGAAAAAAAGAAAACAACCCACATCCCTGAAAATACAAACCTCCTGTGAGTGGTGCAGGCTTGCAACTAATTGACAGCTTAGATGTGCTAACACAGTGCCAGCTGGTCAGCTACTTCCCAAGCAGGCAGGGAATTCACTACCTGTAATAACAGCCAGCAAACAAAACACAGAAATAGAAAGTAAGTTTTAAAAGAAGGCTTAAAAGTAGGAAAGAGTTCGGATGCAATCACCAACTAAGCTGTAAATTTTTTGCTAACAGCACCTGTTTGTAGCTAATAACATTTAAATCAGAAGACTGAGGGCATTAATGCCTTCAAAAATAATCAATACTGATGAACTGCAGTCTTGTTGGCTGGGGCTGAAAATTAACTGGAAGTGACTGAATTAATTTAGACAAGCCAAAGCCCTAGAAGAAAGAACATAACTACTGCCCTCACAAGTTTTCTTTTGCTGAACATTCCTGTTTGCAGAAGTAGTTCTGCTTCCTTGTGCATGGCTGTATGCTAATAGTGGCACACACACTGCTTTCAGCAGGCTGCGTCTCTGCCCACATTCAGCTGGGTGATGCTGTTCTACAATCTGCACCTCTGGCAATTCATGATTTTAATTAACAGCTTATCAGCACTGACAAGCTTGAAAGTGACAGCTATGCTGGTGGGCAGGCCATGTCCAAAGACTCAGCATCAGAACAGTATTTTCTTTCCCTACAAACAGGGAAATATGCACCTTATTAAAATCCAGTGTGAGCAAGCCAGTTATCAGTGTCTTAAAAAGCCTGTATATATGAAAACATGGCTCTAATCTCTATACTTTTCCTTCCATACTCTTTAAACATAGCTGTTTCTGCAAGTATTATAAGGGAAAAAAGCCTTCCAAGATACCAGCAACAGGTAGCATAAGCAAGGACTCTACAGATTGCCCATCAGAAATCACTCAGAACATTAGTTTTAAAACAAGACAACAGAAAACCCACTGCTCTGAATCTCCTAACACAAGTACTGAGAAAATAATGCAACTGAAGTTGCTTTTTCAACAAAAAAACAACTCATTTTAGTTCTCCAATTGGCATCAGTGAACACCTTAGATAGGAACAGCATTAGACAGCCATTCAGTCTACATGCACACCTGAGCTGGTATCACAGGTTTCCTGCAGGATAACAGTAGTGCTGGACTGCTGCTTTCCAGCAGCACACCGAGGAACAGAAGATCAGCACCCACTTCCCTAGTATGGTTGTAACAACCTCACTGTTGTCATCAAAGGAAATTCGTGGTCATGACAAGTAATACAGGAAGTTAAACAGATCTGTAATTAGACCCTTTGCTAGGCAAACTTTTATATTCAGATACTTTAACAGCACATGACAAGTATGCAAAAACTGGCTTTAAAATCCAGTGTTTGATCAACTTGAGCAACAGGCACCCTTCCACAGCTGTTCTCATAACAGAAAAATAAAAATAAATCTCTGAATACAACTCATTATGCCCAACCATGAGAATACCATATCAATCTTTAATTAAAAAAAAGAATGTTTTATGTCTGGAATTAAAAGATGGCACAGCAAATACCAAAACATCTCCCCTGGGCTAACACAGGCTAGATTGAGAGCAGCAGTTCTATCAGCTGAGAGCTAAAACTTCTCTTGCATGAGGCTGCTAATAACAGTTCAGTTGGTGCACTGCTAGTTCCTGCACGTGTCTTAAAGCACACAGAACTGTAGTTAGGAACTGCAGTTGGACTGGATGTCATCTATCCAGTAAGAAGGGGACTGCTCCTCCCTGGAGGTCTCCCAAGAGCTCCATCAAGAGCTACTCAGACAAGCTAAGCACGCATCATCATTTCACTCGTGTTAGTGGAAGAAGCAACTACAGAGTGAGCACTACTGTCATGTGCAGAGCTAACAGAAAACCTGGTTCTCCTCAATATAAGTATTCTGGATGTGACTCTGGGCAGCCTGGTCTGGTGGCTGGCAACCCTGCACGTAGCAGGGGGTTGAAAGTAGATGAGAATTGTGGTCTTTTTCAACACGGGCCTTTCTGTGACTATGAAACATCCATGCATTACTTCACTGCTGCAAAACACACCCATACCTGCTTTACAAAGCTACTAGTAAAATTCAGGGAATAAAATGCACTAATTCAGGTTTCATAGGGGTTGCTACACTTTCTCTAGCAACACTCCAGGAAGTGTCAGAAGCAGCATGCACAGTTATGTTTGAATAACAGCATCCATTTTCCTGAACACAAAGACTGGAATATGATGACAGTACTGGGGGAAGTGAGAAGTAAGCATTGTTTTTAAATATACACTTTTTATAGCTACCTCTGTTTGTACATAAATAAAATACAGAGAAATTTACTGCTGAGAGTCAGCAGTAAAGCACTGATTAAGAAAGAAGGTTTAACCTTTCATTTTTATAATCTTGCTGTTACTGACCAAGCTTTCTGTTGCCAGCTTCACAGTTCTTGGGTTTTGTTGTGTTTTTTTCTCTCCCTTTATACTGGGGTACTAAAGACTTCACAACCACCTGACACCCTGCTATGAGCACACTGCAAAGAGTGAGATAGTAAAGTTCCATGGCAAGCACACACCTGATATTCATCTATATAGAAACAGCAGTTCCATGCAGACAGATTCTGCATGCAGATGTTTGCTCAGCCACTACTGGAAATATACTGCATGTTTACTGACAGAACATAAACAGCAAGGGGAAGAATATCAGAAGAGGCCAAAATAAACACTAGAAACAGGAAATAAAAGAAGCATGAAGTCTCCTGAACTACTGAAGTCTGACAAACTAACACAGTATTTTATTACACACAGAGCTCCATGTTAAAACAAGAAGTGCAATTTTTAAATATTCAGTAATAAGTTATGAGACAAACTGAAATGTTAGTTTTGCAAAGATGACAAAGTAGCTCATGACAGAGCAGCTCCCAGCAGGAAATTCTGCTGCTCATTTTTTCCACTCATGACAAACTTTTCCCTCTAAAAGATCACATTCTGAAGGAAGAAGCACAACTGCAAGGATCCGATATAGACAAGCTACATTTAATGCCCAGAGAAATTTAACACTGACATGCAGTGTTTCAGTACCAGAGTGTAACCCCGAGTTCTGAAGTTCACATTTCAATGAAAAGTTATTTTAAACCAAAATTAGAAGTAGTGCTCGGCTTGCCAAGAGTACAGCTTTTTCATTCCATTACAGCAAACATCATGCCCAAGTTGTATGTGAATGTTTACGCTACTTGGTGTGCTGCTTAGCTTGACATTCTTAGGTACTTTAAATGCCATAAAAGAACAAGTCACCTCTCCTGCTGACTTACTATGCAGAAAAAAAAGTAATCCTTTTGCTCATAGTAGTTAGATGAGTGATGTGCCAAGAACATCCTGTGTCAAGAACAGCTACGCCCAGATGGACAGAATTTTTCTGCTAGAAATCAGAAACAAGACTGATTAGTTTTGTCAAGAACTCTTATTTATTGAGTGGAACTCTATTTTACACAGAGGTGCAAAGCGCGCCTCCAAAATCATAGAATGATCCAACTATTACATCCCACAGAGATACCGTAACTTGACATTCAAAGCAAGCTTTCCGAAGTTCTGAAGAGGAGCTATGAGATATAGTTTAGTGGCTTGTGGTAGCAAGGACAATGGGAGGACCGCTGGACTAGATGATCTTGTAGGTCCTTTCCAACCTTTTGATTCTATGATTTTTAAGAATTATTAACTTACTCTGCTAACTTTAATGTACTCTAAACAATTTCTTCTTCAGTTCATCCACTGCATCAACTACAACGCAGAAGTTACATCAGCATTCAAACAAGCACCCCAAACCTTTATATATACACACACACACACTATTACACATCCTTGTATTTACAGTGGAGATCCAAAGGCCAGAATGCCACAGCTGTGTTCACTTCCAAACGTGTTAGAAGTATCCTGTAGTTGATAGTAAGCATTACTGGCATGCATTAATCTTACTACAGCTTATCTATGCTATTACCTCCATAAAATCCCTACTGCCATCCCTTTGCACTTCCTAGAACATCAAGTTTAACCAAAACAAACACAGGTTTGAAGCGAGGTTTAACTTACAAACCCAGGTAGCTCCTTATTGCTTTTGAAAACTTCAAAACCGCATCCACAGGTCCTTTCAACGCAAAGATAAACAAATGAAAAATACATTTCGCAGCTGAAAACGAGCTGCTGAAATCAAGCTCTCGTTATTTCGAGAAAAAACAAGGAAGCCGCACAGAGCTTAATTAAGGTTTAGGTACGAAGCCAAGCAGCAGAACCACAGCTGAAGCCCTCAGATGGCTTCAAAGCAGCATCAGCGCTGCCTGCGAGCAGTGAGCGCCTCCGAGCCCGCCGAACAGCGCGGCTCCACAGCAGGGCCGGGGCCTCTCCGCCTCCCATTGCGAGCTGACAGACCGAGCGACTCCCAGCAGTCCCTACCTGACGCCCAACGAGCCGCCTCAGCGCCTTCCCGGCCCGAGCGGTTCCGCCGAGCTCCGCCAGAGGGACCCTCCGTCACCGCTTCACTTCCGGGGCCGGCCGGGCGCGCTCCGCCATCGCGGCCGAGCGGGAGCGACCGTCACCGCCATCACTCGAAGGGCCGTGAAGGCGAAACGTCGCGCTGTCTCTCCGGAGCGCTGCAAAGGGCTCGCCGCCGGGCTTGCCGCCTCAGCGAGGGTCCGGAGCTCGGCCCCGCGGCTCCCCGCCACCGCCCCGCGGGAGAAGCGCTGACCACTCCCGCCGCCTCCCCGCCGCGGCCTAAAATGGGAAAGCGCCTCACACAAAATGGCGCCGGGAGGCTGACCGCCGCGCATGCGCGTCGCGCGCCCCGGCCCGCCGCCGCCGCAGGACGCCATCTCCGCCCGCGCCCCCTCTCCGCTCTTCCCCTCGTCCCCGCCCCTCCGCGTTTCTAAGAGACGGTTAGCGCCAATCGCGACGCGCCGTTGCTCTTCCTGACCCCCGAGCTAGGCCAATCGACGCGCTCGCAGCTACATCCGGATCCAGCTCTCGCCAATCAGAGGCTCGGGAGCACTGACTTCACTTCAACCGCCGCCAATCGACAGGCGCTCCGGCGAAAAGCCAATGAAAAGTCTCCGTGGCTCTACCTGCGTCTATGTCTGACCAATAGGTTCCTCCTGGCTCTTGGCGACCAATGGGGGTGCTGTCCGCGGCGCCCAATCCGGGCGGGGCAGAGCCCCCGGGGCGTCACGAGGGGGCCAATGAGAGTTCGAGGAGGACCGATTCTGCTCAACAGCTTGTTATTGGGCTCGTCGCTGGCGATCCGCTGTGAGTCCGGGCTGAGAGGAGGGGGCGGAGCGGGGCCGCGCTCAGCGCCGCCGCTCGCGGGGCTGTCGTCGTCGCGGAGGGGGGCTGCGGCGCCGAGCCGAGCCGGGCGCTGCCCACTTCGCTGCGACTTTCCAGGTAGGAAACGGTCGAGGGCGGCTCGGCAGCCGTAACTCCGCCGCCGTCCCGGGGGAGCGCCCGGCCCCGGAGGGACGGCCTGGGGCTGAGCGGAGCGGGACGGCCGCCTCTCCCTTCCCCCAACCGCCGAGCGGGCAGCGGGAACGGGGACTCCGAACTCCGCCTCCGAGCCGCTCAGCGCTCAGCCCCGGGTGCGCGGTGTGTGTGCGTGCGTGTGTGGGGAGGGGGGGGCGGTTTGCTCGTCCCGCTCCCCTCAGCCCCAACCCCGGCGGCCGAGGGGGGCGGGGAGGAGCGGCTCGGCGGGCCGCGGAAAGTTGCGAGGGCCGGGGAGGGGCGGGGAAGGCGGGAGGCAGGCCGGGCCCCGCCGCCCCTCCGTCAGGAGTTGCCGCCTCGGGGCCCTCCCCGCCCCGCAGCCGCCGCCGGGAGCGGGAGCAATGGCGACGTGACGCGCACCGAGCGGCCCGGGACGGGCGGAGGCTCCCGCCCGCCGCCCTCTGACGGCCGCAGACCCTCAGCCGATCCCGCTCTTGTGTTGCAGCGTTTCCCTGTCTGGCGAGGAGAAGGCTCGGAGCTGGAATCCTTCACATAACCGGGGAAAATGAAGGTAGGAACTCTTCTCTCTCCTTTTGCTTTCCTTGAGGTAATTTCGTTTTTCGCCGCTGCTCTAGCTGCAGTTGGCTGGAAATGCTCTGAGTTGCTGTCCTCGGAGTGCTGCCTTTAAATGCTTCCTGCATCAGCAGCTGCTATTGCAAGTTTGCAAAACCACAGCTTTTGTCCCGCCTGTGCTGCTGCTGGGTTTTTGTTTTTTTTTTTTTTGTCAGTACAAAGACGGGGCAGTGCACAAAAGAGAGAGAAACTTTTCTTGCCTTCAATTAAACAGCAGCGAAACAGTTCCTTAATGTTGTGCGTTGATTTCCTGTCTCGATGGACGTTTTGGCGTGCTGCTTCTGGCCTTGTTTACCACTTCTCACACGCCCAGTAAAGTGAGGTTTGAAGTAATAAAGTCCAGATTAAGGAAAAGGTGAGGAGAAATAGTTCTTCCTCTTAACGAGGCAGTTCAGCTTTCGTAAAGGATTTCAAGAAAAAAAAAAAATAGTAGTTAACAACTGCTCAGAAGACGAGAGTAAATCTCTCTAGAGGTCTCAGTTTAGTTAGCAGGAGAAAAACTCCTGTATATAGAATGGTATAGACGTAATTGTAGATACTGGTATGATAGCAGCCTCAAATTATCCTCCTCACCAAATTGCTTTCAACAGGAAAAAGTGCAGTTATCTTCTATGCTGCAGTTCTGCTGTTGAAAGATTTCCCTTCTTTAACTCTCTTGAGTTAATTGTCATTTTTATTGATTATTATTACCCCTTTTACAATGAGATGCTTTAATATGTCTTCAGCACCCCCAGAGCTATGCCAAGCATACCACAGAAAGTAAGAAGGTGGTTTTTTGTTGGTCCTTTACGTTGGGAGAGCAATTAGGCTGACAGAATCAGGGGTCGACCTCACTGTGTGAAGCAACACTTCCTGTAACTTGTTTCTTTATTTTTTTAAAGAGAGTAATCTGACGGCAGTTCTTAATACAGACGTTGTTTGTCACGTAATGATCAAGAAGTTCAGATGGAAAATCAAATGTGCAATGCTATAGCTGTAAAAAGAACTAAGAACTAAACTTTGTTCCTGTTTTCTTTTTTTTTTTTTTTTTTGCTCCTCATTAGGCAGCAGATGAGCCTGCCTACCTGACAGTGGGAACGGATGTCAGTGCCAAGTACCGCGGTGCCTTCTGCGAGGCAAAGATTAAGACAGTGAAAAGGCTTGTGAAAGTCAAGGTAGTATGCTATAGTTTGTGCTGGCTTTGTTAAAGCACTGCGTTGAAAGAGCTGTCAGAGAAGATAAAAATCCTGAAGATTAGGGAATTTTCATTGCTTTACTGTTTGAGTTTTAAGAGCATTTGAATGTGCAGTTATGATTTTCTTGTTGTTTTTCCAAATCTTTGTTCAGGAGGATGCTGAAACAGGACTGGGCTTAAACATTACCTGTCTGTGCTGCTCACTTCCTGATCACAGTTGTCTCCTGTTTATGAATGCATCAGTTTCACAGCAGTCAGTTTTGAAGGTTCTCCTAGAGGCTTATGGCTTTACATGAGTAATAAGAGCAAACTCAGAAGCAAAAATTCCCTTTCATTCCAATTGACAGTCAGTTTTACTTGAGAGGCTATGCTATAATGAATCAATGTAAGAACAAAAAAAAAGATGGCAAAAGAACCTTTTTAGATCAGGTTTTCGAGATGTCCAGGAGAGTATTTGTTAGTTTTCAGCATCTTGCTGCTGCTTTCAGAGCAGCATGCAAAACTGTAGCTAAGTTCCTGTGCAAGCGTAGTACTGACACTTAATATTCATTTATGTTTACAGGTCTTATTCCAAAACAAATAAAAATGAAGGTCATTATTTTACTGTTGCAGTTCTGTTGTTAATGCTAATGTGGGAAAACAAGAGTCAAAACCTAGTTAAATAAGAGTTAAGAATGCAAAGTAAATATAGATCTTGGTTTGTTCCCTTAAGTTCTTTCCACTTCTAGATAACTGTCCAGGATATGTAAATAAGGCATTAGTGACCCCCAAAACCTTGCTAAATAGAAATGAAAGCTTCTTTTTATAACTATATATCTACATTTTCATGTGCTTTAATGCTTAGATCAAGTAGAGCAAGCTGTCAGCCTCTTCAGTCACATAGGTAGAGCACATTACTTATATCAGAGTTCTTGTCATGATTTAAAAAAACAATCAATTCAGATCTTTCAGTCTTTTCTCCCGTTCTTAGTGAGTACTTTTAGAAATTTGTGCCCTTGTTTGAAATCTGTGTGAATGAGTTGCTTCCTAGAAAGCAGCGTGCTGCCCTTCCCATACTGACATCCTTCATTTTTCTATGTGTCTTTGGTCTGAGTATTAAGGCTGTTTGTAGGTGTGTGTTTCTTTATCAAATGATATGCTTTATTACTCCACGATAAGACCTGTAGATACACGAGGCTGCTCTGACTTGGTGACAATTCCTGTTGCTGTGTTTGAATTGTAAAAGAACAGTTGAAGTTGTAGCAGTAAGCCTGAGTTTTTAATGAAGAGTGTATGGGCACAACCCAGTGTACCTCCTAAGTCCAGAGAGTCCATCAGGCTTTTCCTGAGTAGCAGGACTACTTGTATTCATCTCAGTACTGATAGAGAATTGTAAATAAAAACTAATTGAACTGGGTTGTTATGAATTCATACTACTGCAGAGTGCCTTTCAACATGCTACTAGTTTTTATAAATGCAGCTGCAATGTAAATTGTGCTCATATGATAAAGAGAGGGGAGCACAAAAACTGGACATCTTTATTGGTGGAAAGGAAATTCCTTGGGTTTTTGATTCCTGAAAAAGGATAGGAATTTGGGAATTGTTGGTTAGTACATCCTGGTACTCAGGTAGGTCTTTTTGCTATAGAAAATGGCAGTGAAACAGTTAATCCTGCTAACATCTAAATATTCATCTTCTATATTTCTGAGCTGAGTCTGTGCAAACACAGGGATTCAACTTGCACAGGCTTATGTTCTTTCTGTGTCATCATGTTTACTCTCCCAAACAGAGGATTTTAAAGGGAAAAGTGTTTTACTTCCTCTTTTTCAACTGATCTTTGTTTTAATCACGCTTTTAGTGGTTTGCATCTTTACCATAGAAACTTTCTCCTGTTCACGTTAGCAGCAGTGGTGGTGTTGTGATCTGTTCAGTGATTTCTCAATAAGTTTTTAATACAGAAAGCATTGTGTTTTGATTGCAGTTCAGCACTCAGTGTGTTGTCAATGAAGTGCTATGGGTAAAGTAGAGAAAAAGCACATGAATCATCTGATCTCTAGGCTCAGTTCCAGGTGTACCCCAGGGTTCATCAATATCTAAACTCGCATCAAAAGCTTAAGTTCTTTTCATTGGAGCACCTGTTGTTTTATTTGCCCTCTTCTTTGACTGTAGTGTTTCAGGCTAAGTGTTCAGTGTGCTACTTGGGCCTTCCTGTGAATAAAGCCATCCACGTTGAGGGTTTTGCATTCACAGTAATGTTTGACTGTGTTTGATGGAGAAAATGTTGATTTTCTGCTTTACTACTTCTGTTCTTAGACTTTTTAATATGCCATTACAAATAAGGAATGCATAAACAACATTTATGAATGTTTTTCAGGTGGTTCTGAAGGGGGATAACTCGACTCAGTTAGTTCAAGATGATCAAGTGAAAGGACCTCTAAGAGTATGTACATTGCATGCCTCTTATTGCTTTATCTCATAGTAAATCAACAGGAGACCCATTGCTTTTGGTTGGGTTGATTCTGAATTAGTCCTAACTCTTGTAGTTTTTGGAGGCTCTTCGTGTTCTCCATGTAGCCAACAGAACTGCACATGCTGCTTTTGAAACCTGTTATAAGCAACAGAGATCCTGATTCCATGAGGGTAACTTCAAGCCTGTTAGACAGTAATAAACATGAGTGTTCTAAAAGTGTTTTTAAAGTAGTTGATGTATTTTATGTAAAAATAATGCATGTTGATTTGTGTTTTTACAATAGCTGAAAGTTGTCTGCTAAAACAGCTGCATTATAGAACACTGACTGCAAACAGACCTTTTTAGAGATCATCTTTAGTAGCTCCTGCACGAACACTATTGCGTGTTACTTAAAGTCTGATCTAGCTGATGGTACAACAATAAAGAGTAATGTTAGAAGTGTTTTAAAGTGTGAGAAACAGTAGTGACACATCAACAGTCACATAAGAGTTACTTTGATTGAATAGTTGAATATTTATTTCCAATTAGCCTTGTATTATTTCCTGTTATGGGATAAGCCATGCTGAAATTAGTTGTCCCAAGATCCTTACTGCTTTATTGTCAAACTAGAGTTCAGCTTAAGAACCTTTGTTCTTACCAGCTACGTAACTACATTTCACAAAGTAACATTTAGCTAAAATGAATCTTCAGCATTATCAAAATAAAAACCTGCCTTACTAGAAGAATTAATGCTTACGTGAGTTCCGTCTCCTTTACTTGAGTTCCGTATTATGTGTAACCTTGGGATACCCCTTTTTGCAGGTTGGTGCAATGGTTGAAACCAAAATGCCTGATGGATCCTTTCAAGAAGCTGTTATCAGCAAGTTAACAGATGCTAGTTGGTATACTGTAGGTAAGTAGCTGCATGCTTTCGTTGACAGTCTCTAATCTTTGAATAATACATTTCTAATTATAGATAATAACGTAAGTAATTATATTCTGTTTTGTAAGAGCTGAGATTTTGAAGGGAACTTTAAGTCTTCCAGATCTTGTTTCCTTAAAAATAGAATAATAATTATTTGATGTTGAAGGAGGCTGTAGCAAAGGGCTCAGCAGACAAGTTTTATTTGGCACAACATCCATATGCTGATGGTGGTTTCACTCAGTGGAATTCAGAATGGGTTTTGCAGATTTTAAGACAAACTTCAAAATAGCATTTCTGGCTGAATATTTGTGACACGTATTGACTGACTGGCTTGCAAGTGTTCATTCACTGTATGCAGTCTTATAAAAACAGCAGCAACACCCATAGCTTCTGTACATTTGGAAGTGATTCCTCTGTTTTGTGTAGAGTTGAAAGTTGAGGGTTGTGTTTTGTATGAAGTAACAGAAGAAAGGAACTTATTTTTAAAGAAATTGCCATTACACCTAAAAAGAAAAGAGGGGAGCTTTTTTTGTAACTTAAAATTAACTGTTGCCTTAAATCTTTTTCAAATAATGATTCAATCTAAAATAAAATAGAAAACAAATTTGCTTCTCCTGCAGGAGGCTGTGTTTTTTAGTTACTGACACAAACCTCAGAATGCACAATCATCAAAATGTCAGTGTTGAACAAGGATTCACTGCAAGAGAAACTTCATTATTTTGAATAAATAGAATTGCTCATTCTGATATCTAGGCTTTTCTGAAATAGCTCTATCACTGGAACGGCCAGCAACATTCAGATACTATATAAGCAAACAATAACAACCACAGTAACTGGATCAAAAAGCAGTGCAAGTATCCAACTTGGAGGAAATGCACTATTCTTAATTGTACTGTATATTCTGCCATTCTACTCCACTATATTTGTTCTATATTTGTTTCTTCTTAGTATCCTTACATATAGACAGTTCAGGTTTATCTTCATATTTTTCAGTACCCTGCTGAAGAGTCCCATATAGCATGGGATATCAGTTTTATTTTGGTTTTGTGATGTTTGTTTGTTTTCAGATAGACAGTACTTTCAGTAGTCCAACTTTCCCTTTGCAGTAGGTGAGATTATTTAGTCTTTGATGGGATCAAGATAAGGCTGTCAATGGAAATAATTTGGAAGAGTTTATCATGAGACGTTTATTATTATTGCATGCTATAAATACAAGCTGGTTGACTTTCTAGTGCTCACTGCTCTTTGCATTTTTATTTTTTTAATTGTCATATATTGTTAGTGAATATCAGGGAGGGCCTATTTGCTGTGCAGGTGACTGAGCACTGGCATAGGCTGCCCAGAGGTTTTGGGATTTCTTGTTTGGAGGTCTTTAAAATCCATCTGGGTACACTGCTCTGAGTGGTCCTGGCCAGGCTGGATGTGGCTCTGGGCAGCCTGGTCTGCTGGTTGGTGACCCTGCACACAGCAGGGGGTTGGAACTGGATGAGCACTGTGGTCCTTTTCAAACCAAGCCATTCTATGACCTCCAGAGCTCCTTTCCAACCTTAATTATTTTGTGATCCTGTGATTATTTTTTTTTTCCTTTCAAGGATATACATTGCTCTAGAATTCTAGATTAAGCTGTAAAGTTGTGGTACTCAGGTGGAAAAGGCAAACTTATTTCTAAGACCTTTTGGCCTTACACTACAATGTAACATACTTGATGACCCCTACTACCTTTTTTTATCTTTAGACAGATAGAAGAAAATAAAGTTGCATGTTTTTTCATATGCAGGTTTATTAAGGCTGCTAGGAGTTTGCAGAACTTTGGAGCTGCTGGGAATGAGAGGGGGTTTAAGTAATTCCATGTTAAGTCAGTGTGTAGTGTGGCATATAGGGTATCTGTACCCATACATCTGAAAATACAATTGTAACACGCTGGAATTGCATTTAGGTCTTACTGAAATTGTCATGAGTAGTACATGGTGTTGTATTTATTGATACTGAAAGCAGAGGTAATGTTGACCAACGTAAGCAGATTGAGAATTTTGTATCTTCATAACTTGGCTATTTAACTTGGATAATTGTGGAAATGCTTTAGCTTGAGTACAGAAATGTCAGAGTGTGAGAAATCAGCCTTATTTTTTAGCCTGCTTCTCCCATTGTAACTTTGTAGAAAGCTTTGGAGAAGTATGGAGTGTGTGTTTATGTTGCTGTCAAGTAAACAAGAGTTGAATTTGTTCCCCTTTAATAGATGGTGGCTGTGCTCCTTGGCAGTCTTATTGACTGATTCAGTCAAAGCTTAAAAGTTGAAAGGGAAGTGGATTAAACAGCTTTTCCAGTTCTGAAATGTTTTCCTGAACTGTGGTCAGGCTTGAGTTGGAAAGCACAAGAGAAAGCTTGCTTTTAGTATGTGCTTTTCCTGTACCATTTAATTTCTGTTTTATGGATCATCACCTCTTTGTGATTTAAAACTATGACTGATAAGCTAGAGAGATCATTAATATATGTGGGTTAATAAATAAATAATAATTTCCTTTTGTCACCAGCATAACAGATGCACAAAATCTCTTCTAACATTAGTTCTGCCTGTTAGTGGTGTTCATCTGCCCCAAATAAGTAAGGATCTCTTTTTTTTTAATGGTAGCTGCTCTGAAATGGCTATTTCACCTGTTATCACATATAGTAATGGTGGTGTTGTAGAATTTAGTCATGTTGAAATTTTCAACTGGAGCATTTGAAATGCCTTCAAAAATCGCTGAGTGCATGAGTAGGTGAGGAGACACAGCTGTCGGGGGTGAAAACTTAACAAAGGCTGGAAAACTGAGTTGCACAACTCAGCCTCTGCTCGATGGAATCTATAGAGAGATGACAGGGCTAGCAGAGTGAGTTTTTGGGGTAACAAATGGCTCAGTTGAGTTTTTAGTCTTTTAAAACTTAATTATTTTAAATGAACTTGCAATTTTTTGAAGTGCTGCATTGATGCTTTTGAAGTGCTAGATATATTGCTAAGTGATAATTACCTAGCATTAGAGCAGTCTGTCAGATCTGTTTTCAGCTGAGCCACGTTTGAATTACTGCTAACTTAGTGTACACCCACCTGATTCTCTGTTAATTTGTAAAACAGGTCAAACATCACACTGCACATAGTTATATTTTCCTTCTGTAATCTTTTCTGGAGTTTTACTACCGTTACCAGAATGTCACAGAACAGAAATCCTTGTGTATAAGTTTAAGGAAACACTTTTGTAGAACTTCTTTTCAAAGCTGAAAGCAGCGTAGTGTCTACATAAAAGTACAAAACTGTATTTCAGTTCTTCAGTCTGAAGAGTTGCTGTTAAATCAGTCTCTTTTCTTGCCTCATCAAAACAAGTATCATCTTCCTTTTGATAATACCAGTAACCTGCATGTGCTTAGGTCTCTTGTTGAAGATTTGCAATTTAACCACTGCCACAGCTTTCAATGAAAGTAAAACCAGACCAAATGCATTGAGCCTTGTGTCATGTCTTTTGAAAGATAAAATCATGGAAAAGTCTTTCTAAAGAAGGAGAAGACAAACAGCTAGCTTTAATCATTTTACCTCTGAAATGTAAGGAAAATACAGAAATTAAAAGCATTGATGAGCACTTGTGGTTTGTAGTAGACCTTGCTGTCACAGTAGTGCTTTTTATACCATTTGGAGTGAAAAGGAGTGTGGTTTTTTATTTCCTTGAGAAATATGGCTTTCAGGCTTTTATGTAAGGCATCTTTTTAAAAATTATCTTGAAATGGTAGAATATTTTAGTATAAATAGTAATTAATTTTGCTCATTCTTTTAAATGCTGTGTGAATCTGCAAAGCCAAAAGAGTTTCCCATTTTGGCTCTGATGCAGAGCTGTACATCAGTGTGGCCTATCTGGTTGTGCTGTGGACCAAACACCACTTGTGGGACCTCTGTGAGCCCCCTACCCTTGCTTGGGCTGCCCTGCAGATTCACATGGGGTAACTTCTTCCTCTCTTGTGGTCACTGGGACATTTTGCAGGGAATGCTGTTATCTGAGTGTGTGGGCTGGGGGTTGATAACCTGACTGCTCATCCCTATGCAAGGTGAAGTTTGAGTGGGCTGGGTTGTTGTGGAAATGAGGTCTTGGCAACAGGTTGTGTCACTTTGGTGTATCACGTTTAGGAAGTGTTGGGTAGCACATGCCTTATTCCTGTCTGGAGGGTGATAGAAGCTATCAGTCACTAGACTTCATCCATTCCAGAGGCTTGCCAGTTTGTCTTTTCATAATGTCTATAGCAGGCTTTTTGTAGTACGTGCAAGGCAGGAGTCATGTTTGTGTGGCTGGTTGGACCAGTTCTTCTTCCCAGCATCCTGTTGAGTTGTACAGCCCAGAAGCATCGCTTCATCTTCTGGCTATGCGTGCGTCACCCAGGAATCCTAAAGGACAAGTGTGGCAGGGGATGTGTCCAGTCACCCCAACTTCACTGGTGCTACAATCCTCCCTGACCCACCACCACTTTCTTCTTTTCGTCTCCAAAACGTTGCTTGCTTGGATTTTGAAGAAATCCCATATTTACCAGAATCCCTCCACGGGGCGTGTCGTGGATTAAGTGTGTCTGCAGCACACACAGAGCTGTGCCATAGCTGTGTTGTTTGCTTTCTGAAGAATCTGGGAAATAAAAGAGCAGCACAGCATTTTGTGCTCCAGCACCTGCAGGTAGAGAAGCATGTGTAGGAGGGAAAGTATAGCAAGTGAGCCTTGTTACAACTCATGGCATGGAACCTTTGCTTGTAAACCATCTTTGTTACAATGTGGACAGTGCCTTATAAAAAAGTTATTGTGTATAAATAATACTGTAGAGGTACAATACAGTAATACTGTACATTTTGCTAAATGCAGGGAGGTGGTTTTTTTCCTTCCAAATCTATGTAACGATAGTAAGATTACTGTAACATCTCAGAAAAAAGGCTTTCAGGCAGTAGGTTCTTATAAGATGATAGCCTTATATAGGAGGAGTCTCAAGATTTATTCTTTCGTGCTTTCAGGGATCTTTCATACATACCTGAGCAGAGGAACAGTTCCTCTAGAGTTATTTTCTTTTTCTAAAATACAACATATCACTGAATTGTGTGATCTCTGGAGTAGCACAATCCATTGCAGCATCTTGTTACAACGATGAATCAGTGATTAGTGCAGTTCTTATCTGCAAGGTTATTCAACAAGTGCAGCCTGAATCCTGGTACTTTCCATATTGTTTCCACAGTTGAAAAACAAAAAGCTAAACAGCTTTCACACGTTCATAGATGCATTCATGGGTAGCATCTCTGGTAGCTCACAAATTACAGCTTAGGCACCTAGTGAAACGGTGACACAGTTTTTACTTGTTGGCACATACTTCATTGTCTTGGTAGGTTTAGAAAACTTTGAATAGGAAGAGTAATAAAATAAAAATGTTTGCTTGCTATGCAGTGTGGAATCTCTCCTCTTTTGAGCAAGGACAGTAACCTAACTTGTTGGATTTGAAGTTAGCAAGCAGATGCAGCCTGGAGGATTGCTTTCCATATTCACTTGTATGTTACAAAACTGCCTTGTTCTGTTAAGTCTGATTGCTGTGTATTCAAGTAAAGTAACAATTTCAAGTATGTTGTCACTGCTCTCCTGCTTTGTTCTCCTTTTTTTTCTTTTTTTTTTTTTTTTTCCCCTAATCTTGTGATATATATAAATAAGATATTTATAAGATGACTGATCTGCAGTAGCTTGAGGTGAGTTTCTCCCTAGTTTTTAAGCAGTATTTGGATTAGTTGGCTTTTTAATATTTCTTTTATAACCAAATGAGAATGGATGTTGAGATAGTGTTTTTGTGAGGGCAGGGTTAGGATTAGTGTTGCTGTTGTTAATAGCTTATAGAGACATGCATGGGCCTGCTGCAGCCAGGGAATGGAGGATAACTGCTAATCCATGGCGAGTGGAAAGCTGCACTGTTTAATGCATGTTTGATGGACTCCATTTTTAAGAGAGAATTTTTGAGATATTTGTTTTCTTAGCTTTCTGAAAGTATTGCAATGATTCCCAATGGAGAATTTTGTTTTTCTGTCATAGCTTTGGTTTGCCTAAGCTTCCGTGAACAGAAGTGCACCCACTTCTGTTTGTTACCTGTTGTTACTGAGAAGGCTGGGTTGCAGTGAAAGTCTGAAATTTTCCATTTTGTTGCCACTGTTTAACAATGCTGTATATGGAACATACTGAGCTCCATATAGGGCATTCTTGGGAATTGAATGAGAACAAACAGAATAGAGACTGTTCCTCCAGGCTGTGCTGCTTAGTCATCTTTCTTCTCCTTCTGTCAGTGTTCTTGGTTAAATAACACGCCTTGGAAGAAAGGCCTCTGGCCAGCTTTTCCTCCTGTCATTCCTACTTTGTCAGATTGACTCTTAAATAGTAGAGTTAGTTTCCTGGCTAGGAGGTATTGCTCTCTTCCCAGAAGTATTTGCTGGAGCAGCCAGCTGGGAAATGGCTGTTGCCCCAGTGAGTATGTGCACACTTCAGGGTTAGGCAGCAGTGGCACATAAAGGGCTTCTGCTTCTTTAGAGAGACAGAATTTTAAGTTCCTCTTCTATGATAAATATTGTGACACTGTGAATGCATCTTTCGATGGCTGAATTACGTGGGTATGAGAGAGCTCTCCCTGTCTTCCATCCCCATTTCCTTTCCTCCTTCATATAGCTGACTCTGTTTAGCAGCCTTCCTTAAGGAATACAGCATGTAAGTATTTCTGCTGTCAGAGAATTTGGAGGTGTAACAATGACCTGTTTGGGAAACAATAAAGCAATTCATTTAAGTTGTTCAACATCAGTTCAACAGTTTTTATCTCTTTGTTAGTATCAAGCATTTTACCTAAACAGTTATACTTCTGAATATAGGCAAAGAGGAATGAATATGCAGTTTTAATTTAAGAACCTATTTTGTTCTTCTGCCATGACTGCTATCATACTATTGATGTAGTGCATAGACAAAATTCTGCTATCTGGTCTGATCTACTGCTTATATCTCTTAAATCCATAATGTATAATACTGTTATGGTGAAAAGTCATTCTCTTAAAGCCTTTAGGACTTGCATGTAAAAGTTGTGCATGGGGTGGAGGCAATATGAGCAGTATCTTTTGTGAAGTAGTTTTTTCAGAAAAAGGCAACTGAGATGGAAACACGAGGCCTACTTAGCTTTAGGAAGGTGTATGTCTGAAAAGGTGCTAACAGTATCATTGCATATTTCTGGTTAAGTCAGATTCCTTCCAAGTGGAGGAGTTGTATTTGCCTGTGGAGGTGAGATATCAACTTACAAAGATGATACTTCTGGAAGTAGGGATAAAGTAGACTGATTGTACTTTTTCTTTACTGCCAAGTATCAGATCCTATTTGCTGTCTCCAATAAAGTTACCTATTGCTAATCACCAGCCTTCTGTTCCCTAAAATCATGTTTGTGAAATATGAATACTTCAGTTCTGAACGTGTTTAGTAAAGCATAATGACGATGATCTGCTTTTAAAACTCTTCAGAACTATGAGAAATTGCGAGCATTTGTAGGGTCCCTGAAAGTATACCACTGTAATATTACTATCAATGTATGAATAATATGTACAGATTGGGTGGTAGTTAAAGATCAAAGGGCTGAAACGTATATAAAAATGTAAACATCTCATACACTGTTGAGGGGGAGACCTCATAATTCAGTGCAAAGTGCATCAGTGCTGGCTTCCTTCAGCTGTCAGCCAAACCAAAGGATTTTGAGAGTATTGTATTGACACTGAGATTGACAGATCTTTGTGGTATTCATATTTTTAAGGTTATTGGCTAATATGGCTAATTAGGCATATATCTCTCTGCTTTTCTTAAAATGTTAGGGTTCAGGAGGGGTGGAAGAGTGATTTGCTTCCTGTGTACTACATAATGACAAAAGCCATTAAGATAATTCAGTATTGCAATGTACTGCAGCACTATCTCCACTCTGAAATTCTAAGAATCTCAATGCTTATCTTACCAAGCTTAATTAAGTTTGTATTCATATGTTATTATGTAGCTGTTACTGCAGTATTATTCCAGTCTAAGGTTTTAATCTAGTACTGAGAATATGACCATTCTATTCTGTTGACAAGTGAGATAAATGCTTTTCTTGCTGTAACTAAGCTGTATTTTTGCTAATAAATCATGTAATTTCATATTTTTGCTAGCTCATGGTTTTTTTTTTTTTGATAGAAGCATGCCAAAATTACTGCATTGATAAACGCAACACTCTTTACACTTTCTTAATTAAAAAAAAAAAAAAAAAAGTTACTGGACAAAGCACATTTCAAGTAGTTTAAATATAGAATACTATACTGTCCTTTGACCCATACAAACAAACTTTTAACTTACTGGACTGACTGCAGCCACCTGGTCTCTACTCACTGAAAAGAGCCCATTCTTATGGCTCAGGCAGAACGTGGGAAACCAGGATTGCCAGAATATTGTGTGTTCCTTAAAATTCAAGCTATTTCTGTGACATACTTTAGATAAAAGGAATATCGTTGCTTACTTCAAACTGTAGGTACCAATACATTTAAAATAAAATTCAGCAAGTGGAGAAACTAGTAACTTTTCTTTCCTTATCTTAATGGAAATCTTGGTGAAATTGTTTTAAAATGACTGAAGAGTAGATATTTCTCAGGCAAAACTTACAGTGAACTCAGAGTGTCCCAGACTTCTTCAGCTGAATGTTGGAAACTGATGGAACTTTCTTTTGGCTTACCCTTAACATCTTTATTTGTCTGCTAACTCTTCATTCTGAGTTCTGTGCAGCAAGAGAAAGAGAATTAAAAGGCAAAATGAGTAAGGAATAAATGAATAGTTTAAAAACAAGAACAACAAAAAAGAAAGAGCACTTAGATAATAGTAACTGGTATATAGTCAGTAACTGTGGTTTGAAGAAGTGCAATGTATTGGTAAAGTGGATGTCTATATTAGATTGAAGCTACAGCTCCCAAAAACCTTAGTGGGCACTGATGTGAGTTTGAGTGAAATTGTTACCCCTCCTTAGGCTGAATCTTGAATACTTCCCTTCGGTTTGTGAACCAAGTAAATGTCAAAGTTGAAGGTCTTTGAAATCGTGTTTTAGAGAGTGTTCTAAATTGCATGATGAACAGTAGACTTGTTTTGTCAGTTTGGGATCATTTTCTGCCAACATGTTTTCTTGCTTTCATTCTAGTTTTCGATGACGGTGATGAAAGGACCTTGAGACGAACTTCATTATGCTTGAAGGGAGAAAGGCACTTTGCAGAAAGTGAGGTAAGATGATGGACGTACCTTCTACTATCCAGTTTTCAATGTTAATTTTTTTCATAAAAGAAACTGCAAATTAATTTTGTTTTTTCTTTGTTCACATAGACACTTGATCAGCTGCCACTAACCAACCCAGAGCACTTTGGAACTCCAGTTATTGGGAAGAAATCTAATAGAGGAAGGAGATCATCTCTTCCTGTGTGAGTTTTATTAGTGCTTTGTTCCTTTACTTTAGTGTCCTTTGCTAAAATTGTAGTCCAGTTAAAGCTGTAACAGGCTGGATGGTTTATCATGTGAGCTGCATACACAGATTATGGACTGAGAAGTTCAGTTTATGCAGACTTCTTCCTGTTTTAGCAGTAGTATGAAACTGATGTTCTGTTGTTGCTGTTTTTGTCCCTTGTAGTAGCCTTAAGGATGTTCATACTCCTTTCACATAATACGAAGTCATGTCAGGAAATGTAGGATTTTTAAGCTGCTTTATAATGCAGGAAAAAAGGTGCTTTTAAATTTTAAGGGTGGAGATTCTTTCTCTTTGTTTCATGTCAGTGCACAATCAAATGCTGATTTACATCTCCAATTTCAACATGATGCTTTGGTAAAATGCTACTGTTTGGACAGAATTTCTACAAGAGTCCTTTAAATCAGTGCATTTATTATTTAGGAGTATTTCCAGCAATTTCAGTTCTTAAAATTATAATTTTGTTTTTCTGCAAGGACTCAGAAATAAGAAATATCTGGCTGTAAAGTATTTTTGCTTTCAAATATTAACCTCAAGTGAAAACTTTAAAATACTGTATGTTTTAATAATTCAGAACTGAAGATGAAAAGGAAGAAGAAAGTAGTGAAGAAGAGGATGAAGATAAAAGGCGTCTCAATGATGAACTGCTTGGCAAAGTTGTGAGTGTGACTTGTAATTCTGAGAAGGCAGACTGGTATCCAGCTTTGGTAAGTTATTTAAAAAATTGAAATGTTTAATTTCACACTACTATTTGTTTGATTTTGGACAAGAATATAATCCAATTTGTTGCACTGTTCCTATAACAGTTTTCTTGGTTTGGACAGTTTGCACACTTCTGCAGCAAAGTTGTGAATGCAGTCAGGCCAGCTGTGCTGCCCATATCCTCTAAAAATCCAAATATTCTACAGTGTCTGTGAACAATAGGAGAACAACAATGAATATTTGTGTATAACTTACAGTTTAATGGCTTTTAAGTCAGTCAAAACTGTACATGAAATGATTGGTATGCAGTGAATTTTTTCTTGCTGTTTAATGATTGCCTTTTTCCTTAGGCTTTCAGGTTTAAGAAGTACTAGTTTCTATCATGCATACATATACATGAAATGGCCAGCTCATTTAGCAGTAGACTGGCTACTATTTTCATTTGACTGCATTGATTGATCTTGTTACCTTTTCTAACAATAAATATTGACTAAATTCAAGTGCCTTTGCTTGTACTGTAAGGGCAGATCGTCTGTAAGCCCCAAACATTTTATAGATACACATAAAAAGTTTTTTTTTCTCTTGAGTAGACTTTTCTAATAGTGTTAGACAAGTTTAATATGCATCTTCTGTCACTCAAAAAAGATGTGATTGTTGCTTGGAGCATTGAACAGATGGACAGATTTTGTTCACAGAGTTTTGCAGATGCCATTTAATACAGGGTGCACAGTTGACTCTGAGTTCACAGCTGTACCTCAGTTTAAAATGTGAAATGTGGTGCTGCAATATGTTTTCTGATTGCTGCATATTGCTTTATGAATGGCAGATTTGAACTTTCCTTGGTTCCAGGTAGGGGATTACCTTCCTTAGTGGCTGTGTACCTCTCTGTGAGCTGAGAAGCTGCAATGTCTTTTTGTCTGTCTGCTTTGTCTGAACGGGGTGGTCCACCTTCCACTGAATTCTGGTAGATCCAGGAATTTATCTGCATTCAGTGTGTTTTTGTCCACATGTGTGGTCTGGAATAAGATGTAAATTTGTTTGTGGCAATACAAATACTGCAAATAAATTTATAGCACCTTTTTAGACTGCTGGAGATAATACTGCTGTAAAGAAGTAAAGAAGAAGTAGTAAAGAAGTAGTAGTAAAGAATTCACTGGAATCTGTACTGGTTTTTATTACCTACATCTCAAAAAAAAAACAAAAACAAAAACAACCAACAACCTACTTATCTCTTAGGCTGAATGCCTCAGATCAGAATTTGATATAAAGTAAAATAGCCCTGTAACTCTTTTTGTTGTTGTTTTGAATAGTTGCTGCAAGCAGTTCTTCTATGAACAGGAGAAAAAACTGAGTGCATGAATAGGACAACGCAGTGTCAGCTCTGTAGAGGAGTAGTTTGAGTTTACAAATGAAATAGTAAACTTTTCCAGCTTGTACATGACAAGTAGAGTAAATAGCTTGAGATAAACTGCTTCTTGAAATTTGTTATTTTTAGCCCTGCTAATATCAAGTGGAGTATGTTTCTATTCTCAGAACTGAAAATTATGCTAGGAGAAAGAAGGAAGCAGCTATTTTCCTGCTGTCATTCCTTTCAAGATAAGCTATTTCATTTTCTTTTCTGCTTAAAAAAAAATGTTTTATTTGAAACTTCAGGTTGTTTCTCCCAGCTGTAATGATGACGTCACAGTGAAAAAGGACCAGTGTTTAGTCCGATCTTTTGCAGATTCCAAATTGTAAGTAACAGCTTACCTTTATTAGACTTATTACTTTTTCATTCTTCTCCTATAAAAGATCTTGCTTCTGGAGATGTTAACAGCTTTTTTCAAAAGTGGAAGGTCCAACTTTGTGTTGTTGCTTGTATACAGCTGCTGTTCCTTTGAGATGAAAAGTGCAAACACAAGGTTCTTCACACTTAGGAAGGAGGCTTGCAGTATTGTACGTTTTGAGTAACATGCTTAGTTATTGCTTAGTTCCAATTTAAGGGAATTTATATATATGTTTTTTAACCTTTGTCATTCATAGTTCAATTTCAGCTAATTTCTTCTTTATGCTCTCCCTGCTTTCCCCTTTATGTTGTATTTGTACTGTGGATTGGTACAGAATTCGGCGTCTTCAGAGAGGGAAAAAGAAGTCAGCAACTTCAAAAAGCAAACAAACAGCTAGATGTTAACTTCTGGTCATTCCTGTTCTGTAAAGTGTGTTTCAGTTTCAAGAAATATCATTAATGTCTTAACTCTTACAACTGTCACGTGTGTCTTTTGCAGTAGTTTCAATACCTGATTGACCCATTACCTCGTGTGCCCAGATGTCATTGCTGTTTAAATAGCAAAGTTTAAAAAGTATTTAATCTACTTCTGAATTTTAAGTGGATGTAAATTAACTGTTTGATTAAAATATTAATAGAATCTTAATGAAGAGTTCTGGGAAAAGAAAGGTCCTTTAACCTTTTCTTTCCTGCCCCCACATCCCCTTGAAAAAACTGTGAGTGGGTGAGTGGATGGTGGGAGAGAGAGACGTATGTTACTTAAGGAAAAGTGCATTCAGAAAAATACCAAGACTGTTTGTGACATTTGTTTCCCCTTATTTGTCTTTTCTCATGCACTTCTAGTGCTTCTGTCTCTAACCAGAAACATCCTTGGTGAAGGCCACCTGACACTCTTCTTCCTCACTTTTGTGATTCCTAATAACCACAGTGTTCACTCAGGCACGAGTATTTGGTCACTGAAACACATTTCAGGTAGCAGAAGGCTGCATTCAATTTTGCTTCTTAATGTAGACACATCATCAGCCTCCTAGATTAGTTTGGCTCTGAATACTGAAGGTACAATGTTGTTGGAAAAACATGCAGCCTTGCTCTGTTTTACTCTTTTTTTTTTCCCCATAGTATTATGGCTTTAACTTCAGAAAATGGCAGCCTCCAATTCCTGAGGTTTTACTCCACTTTTTCTGAATATAATGAAAGAAGAAAAAAAAAAAAACTTATTGTAATAACTCACTTGTAAGGCTTTCCTTGCAGGTTGGTTAGCATTTCTATTGTAGTAATTCAGTAACTGAGTAGTTTTTATATCTTTAGAACAGAGCAATTTCCATATATTTTGCTATGAGGACAGTTTGTCAGCAGTGTATCAATGCAGATGTGTGAGTTCTGTGCTAGTGGAAATGTGTTTTGAAAATAGAATGCTTGTTTCCTTTTAACTCATTGCTGTTCTGGGTAGCAGCTATTGATTGGTGTCTTTTGTATGTAGAAAATGTCTTTGGCCTTTGTAGAGTATCTCAACTTTGCAAATGTGTGCAGGCTGAACGTTTGACATACAGAAACTTTACACATTTTTCTTAATTATAAGGATTCTTTCACTGTCTGAATTTCAGACATGAATATTGGGAACTTATTCTTGTTCTAAATCTTGTACTAGGGCCCACAGTAACAAATGCCTTACACATTTACTTGGAGCTTGAAACTGAATAAGAAATACTAGAATTTTTAGAAGTCTCTGTTTGTATGGGTCAAATACTTGTTTTACTGCATTATAAAAATAACAGAACTTTCTTCTTTTTTTCAGTTACTCAGTAGCAAGAAAAGACATTAAAGAAGTAGATGCTCTAAACTTACCAAAATCAGAGTCCTCCCCTAAAAAAGGTAAATTTGAGTAAATTGTAGGTGTTTTAAAAAGGTAGACTTAAGACAGTAGTAATGTTAACTTTTGCAGAGTAACAACTGCATGTTGGTTTGAACTGAATGCTCCTGGCCATCTATTCTGCAAACAGCTTTAAATGTGATAAATTAGAGAGGCTTTGGATACAACTGTCTAATTAATAACATAGCAACTAATAGAAGTGTTGCTTATTTGGTTTTGTTTCCTTCCTTCATTCCACTCCAAATTTATGCAAATTAAAAAGGTGATTTTGAAGGTGCAGTGTTTGAAACGTCATTGAACAATGGCATATAGAGTCACCTCTCCAGAACCAATGTTTTACGCTGTAGCTGAAACACTTCTTGTCTTTAAATGAAAAGTAACCAGAGATGGAAGTGTAACCTTTAATAGAATAGCTTATGTCAATAGCCTGAAACTAATGTTTGAATGAAGAGTATAATTACAGAGGTTTATTTTCTGAATGGAAGATGTGACTGCAGTATTTGTGTTTTTCCTGAGCTTGTGGAAGGCCAGTTTCTCACCTTAATGTAAATCTTAAACTTCTAGTGCTGTTCATCCCAGTCAAAACATACCATTTTTAAAGGAGAAACATTCTTCTAAGATTTATTAAAAAACAAATACACAAATGAGAAAAACCACCACCAAGAGTTTCTTCATTTTGAGTAAAGGTGTGGAACAGCTTCTTTACAAGTGAGGTTTTAATGTAATGCAAGTAAGACAGCTTGAGGTGGTTTTGATTTAAGATTTCCCATGTGCTTTCTTCTTATTAATTATTTCAGAGTACAGGAACTCTACCAGCAGTTATTAGCTGCTGGTGCTTTATTATCTCTTGCAAAGATTTGAATGATTCATTGCAGTATGTCCCTCTTTTGGGTAATCTTCTGATTGCTCTTTGTTGAAGAAAAATAATTTGAGGTACTCCTGCTGTACAAGCATGACTTCTCCCCATACCATCACTCCCTTATTCATTAGAGTGGTTCTCTTATGTTCCAGACAAGAATGGGACAGAATCTCCTTAAGCAGGTGTGGGGTTTTTTTGTTTGTTTGTTTGTTTTTACAATCTAAACTTTAAGGCGTGAAGATCTCTTGAAAAGAACAAAGAAATCCATGGTATCTTAACTGTGTTTGTTTGTTTTTAACTCGTTTTACTGCAGTATTTGCCACTTTCATACAGAAACAAAACAGCTTTGCAGTTGCATGGAAAATATGAATAAGTAAAGGTCTTTGATGCTGTGTAAATAAATAGATGTAAGTCTTAGTAATGTTCATGAGGACATGTCTATGAATGAAGTACCATTGAGTCATAGAGTGGCCTAGGTTGAGAAGGACTACAATGCTCATCCAGTTCCAACCCCCTGCTATGTGCAGGTCGCCAACCAGCAGCCCAGGCTGCCCAGAGCCACATCCAGCCTGGCCTTGAATGCCTCCAGGGATGGGGCATCCACAGCCTCCTTGGGCAACCTGTTCCAGTGCCTCACCACCCTCTGGGTGAAAAATACAGATGGATGTGCTCAAGTCTAAGCTCTTTGAAGTTCTGATACTTGATTTTTAAAATCTGTCTTTAAATATGTACTGTGCTGAGTGTTTAAAGCTACTCCATCACTTACTATCATTTTTGGTTTGCTTTGTTAATTTACAAGAGTATGAAAAGGAAATTGAAAAATGCTTTCTGATTCTAAATGCTTGGGATGAGGTAAAAAGAGGGCCTTTTCTTCTGTAGGGCTTCAGGAAGCAAGCACGTTTCTCAGCACAAAGGTGGTTCCTCGGAACTGGAAGATGGACATAAGTGAAATTATGGAATCCTCCAGCAGTGATGAAGAAGATGGAGCTGCTGCAGAAACCGATGAAGAGGAAATAAAAAGAGAAGAGAAAAATGAAGAAGTACAGGTAAGTCTGGGCAATTTCAGTTACTCTTCACAGATAATAGAATAACATGCATGTCTAAAGGTATTCCGCTTCATAAAGTTCTGCTCTGTCTTAACTTCAGTGTGCTTTCAGAGCTGTGCATCCTCCCTTTGCTCCTAGTCAAAAATAAAGAATTCAAGGCAGAAAAGAGTGATAGAAAGAATCTGGGTGAAAGAGAAATGAGCAAATGGATGCTGAGGCAAATAGTAGTGATCCAACACTGTATAAAGATAGCTTTGTATTTTTCTTCTGAACTTCCTATGTAGTTCATATAAGAAAGTAGCTTGTTTCTGAAAATCATAGTTCATGACCAGACAAATTAAACTAAAGCAAAATTGCAAGGCTGACAAAGTAGGAGCTAATGCACAGTGCCTGTTAGAGCTATTTGCTATCTAAGACACCAAAAGCAGTGCAGTACTTACCTTTGTATGTGAGTCACAACATCAGCTTTTTTCTGATCTCTAATAGTACAGATTAGGGATGGTACCAAGTGGAGGGACTCTGATACCGAATTGAGATTTATGGCAAAATTTCAGCACTATTTTGAGTGATTTCCCACTTGTCATCAAAAACGTGTTTCTCATTGTTCCTTTTATACCTGCTACCCGTGTCTAACGTTGATGCTAAATCAGTAATAAAGTCAGAGGAGGGGATTGGTGGTGGGATTTGTTTGGTTTTCCTTTGTTTCTCGCCGTTTTCACAATAAGCTTGGCGACGTTTGGTTCTTTATACAGAAAAATAAAGTGAAGTCCATCTCCCGAGGAAGGTCAAATATCGTTTCCCTTTCACTTCCCCTGCAGCGTGTGGTTTTGTCACACCGAAAACAGAATGGCTGTTCATACTTGGAGGCTGCCTACGGTGTTGCCACAGCAACATTCTGTTGGCGTGGAGTGAGCATGCTCCAAAAGAGAGGAAGATTTAGCAGAGGCTTGGCAGCCTGCCAGGGGAGGCTTGCCAGATGCTTTGAAATGGGCTGTCTCTTTCTTTGCCTTTCATGTAATGTCTGATATTTTTTTTTATTATTATTATTATTATTTGATTTGATTTTTTTTTTCCCCATTTTTTTTTTTTTTTTAATGTGGAAGAGAATGTAAGTAATGCTGTATAACTGCGGATGCCTTGCGGTGAGAGAGAGAGAGAGAAAGAAAACAAATATTTGGAAGTCAGGCTGAAATATGTCCAGGCATTGGGCACGTTAGGCAGAAAGGAAATAAAACCATTTAACATTTGAAAGAATGCAGCTCATAGGTAAGGATTCTGTGTTTTAATCTGTAATGTTAGCGTGCTTGTTGGGAATGTGGATTTGGAGGTAGATTTGTAGATTTCTGATCTGTGAACTGTCTGGTGGAGCATGCAAGCAGGCTGGAGCTTTGCACATAGAAAAGGACAATAAGAAGCTATTTTTAGGTGTTAATTTTATGGCTTAATTGCTGTTCCGGAAAACGGAGTGGATGTCTATATGAAAATAATGGTCTGATTAGATAAACGTAAGGCCAAATGTGTGTGGAATATAAAATCCTTTGGGGTTTTTCCTCTGTTTGCAGTGAAAAGGACTGAATAGGCCACGTTTTGCAGGGTGTGAACTGTTGCAGTCTGTATTAGTCTGTTTGCATTAATGTTGCCTAAATTTGCTGAATATCAACACTAAGAATTAAGAATTGATCTACTGGTTTTCTTGTATCCTTTTTTAATGGCATTTTTTGGTGGCTTTTGCAGAAAAGTGCTGTGTGTTTTAAACAAAGAAGGGGGAGGGAGAGCTTGGTGGTTTAAAAAAAAAAAAAAAAAGGAGGAAAAAAAAAAAGCATTCCTATAAAAGAAATAGGGCTGTTTTTAAGGAATAATCCAAATGTAAAGGAGTGAAACAAAAGATTACAAACAAGCAGATGTGTTGGTATGAAAAGCTGTGGAATCCATTAATTCCAGGTGACAAGTAGGGGTATAAAAATAAGGTGAGCATCTTCATGCTGAAGCTGTGTGGCAGAGAAAAGGTAGTAACCTCTTTTGATTCTCAGAGCAGAATTGTCATTTTAGCCCATTAAATCCAATTCCTGATTCAACTGTTAGAATATATGATTTGTTTCAAATGTGGGCCAAGCTAGCTGCTGCAGTAAGAGAGCATTTAAAGAATTTGTCATCATTTCTTTTTTTTTTTTTCCTCTTAAAGGGCAGTAATACCAGTTACTGAGAGAACTGCTGAGTGAATGATGCTGCCTTGCCATTATTTCACTGCAAATGTTGTATTGCTCAGATTCTGCATTTATATTTTGTAGAGTTTCTCATTTAATAATCAAGGGCAAAATAGCTTCTGCCCATTCTCTGCCAGAATACCTTCATTGGACCTTTTTGTTTTGGGACTGCATGTTGTTACATTGCTGGAAATGGGACAGAGGTTTACAAAATGATCGTTTTTCCTCCACGCCCCTCAGCCTCATCTTCTGAAATGCTTTGCTGTCACAGCTTGGCCTGCTGCTGACCTGCTGTGATAGGCCTTCCTTAAATCAATCAAATGGCCTCAGACCTACTTAATATGTAATGAAATTATCAAGTCAGTCAGAAGAGTCTAATTCTGAGGGTGGAAGGGATCCTATTTTTCTAAAGTAGGATCTTTTATAATGGTAATGGAGCAGAGACCTGCTACAGCTAGTGATGATAGACCCTACTATTTATCCAGCAGCTGGATTAAAATCTGTAACTTTGTTTTGACACAGGCTGTCTTTCTAATTACGCCACCTTTCATCAAATATTTATAGTGCAATTAGAATTACTGTTTTCAGGATTTTCATGGTTGTTCTGTGATGTCTTTCATACTCTGACGAATGGGAGCAGTACAGTGGTGGTGAGATGCTAATCCTCATTGCTGGTAACTGACTTGTGTGGTCCTGAGTTGATTCTAAAGGAAGAAAAAGTGGAAATTGCTTGTCATTGACTTTATCAAGGATTGTATTGGATTAGGATGCTTGGCATGTTCACCTGGTTGGATTTTTGGCAGTGCTTGCAATGGGTAATGCAACTTGGGATTACTTCTGATTCACACCATGAGGTTTGAATAACAGAACAGATGTTGCTTGTGTCACAAAAGGTGAGAAAAATTAGGAGGTACTGTAGAAAAGAACTTCTTTATAAAATGAAATTAAAAAACCAAAACAAAACACTCTTAGTTTGACTCCAGGTAAGAATCTAGATATTTCTCTTGGTTTTTATCTAATTTTCAGCCTCGCCTAATGAGATGGTTGTGATTTAAGGGTGTGTTTGGCAGTCAAAGGATACACTGCAGATAGAAGGAAAGAGAATAGAATCTGAAATCCAATATCTCCATAGAGATGGAAGCTTTTCTTGTGCTAGCTGATTTTTGTTAAAAATCTTATGATGTATACTGGTGTATTTGTTTGTAATTCAGTTGTTCTGCAAGGGGAGAAATCATCCCTGTTTGCTGCTTCTCAGGATGAAATAAACAAATACCTGCTGTTTTACAGGGGACCTTTTAAACAATGTTTGTTCTTTCAGTCTCCCTGTAGACCTTTCTGGCTCCAAAGGAATCAAGATTTCAACATGCTTCTTTTGAAATGTATTTTCAGTACATTTTCTTAATGGGTAACGTTAAGACCCCAATAAGAGTAAGGAATTTGCTTTTAGTTAGAATTTTGCAAGTTGTAAGGATTTCTGCCTACCTGTAGAGTTGGCTTTAGTATCATCTTCGGAAGACCCCAACCTGACCCTTTATTCTTCCACTTTTAATTTCCTCCCCCTGAATCAAACATGCAAAACATGGCCAGAAAAAAAACCAAAAACAAATAGTTAAAATACTTCTATACTGCTTCAGAGTAGTTCCTGATTCTCATGTGGTCTTTTCTCTTAGAATCATAGAATGGCCTGAGCTGAAAAGGACCACAATGCGCATCCACTTCCAACCCCCTGCTATGTGCAGGGTCACCAACCAGCAGACCAGGCTGCCCAGAGCCACATCCAGCCTGGCCTTGAATGCCTGCAGGGATGGGGCATCCACAGCCTCCTTGGGCAACCTGTTCCAGTGACTTTGAGAGAGCAAACAAAATGTTACCTGAATCGTCCATTTCTGCCCCAGCCCGTGTATAGGGATGGTTGGATTCATGCTTCTTCCTGGTAGAGATGAACTTTTTAAGGCTTCTCATCTTCATGTATGGCAGAGTTGCTAACCTGTTGCAGTAGGTTTAATTCTTTTCATTCCCTTAATTCAAACTCAGCATCAAGAAACAAACATTAAAATGATGAAAACAGATTTACGTTAATCCTGACGACTTGTTCTGAGTGTGCACACTTCTGAACTCTGTGTCCTGTACACATTGTTCTTCTTCTTAGCTTGCATTTCTTTCACATAAGAGTTAACTGTGTTGTTAGTCCATTAATGACATAAAGATCTGCCCCTGGTACCTTGGCTTGGTGTTGACTGAGTGTATGATGTGCATGCCTGTAAGCATTCTTCCTCTGTGCTCCCACTCAGCTGTTCAGGTTAACATCTGCAGAAGCTTTGACATTGTTCTGTGGAGTAAATGATGAGTCAGGGTAACTGAGCTGTGTTCTTTGTGAAAATCACACTAAGGATAGAGGGGAAAACTCATGGTCCATAAAGGGGCTGGAAGGCAAATGAAGAAACAAAACCAATCAGGAGATTTCTGCCAGTTCACAAGGTTTGTGTTCTGCTTATTTTTGAGAGTAACGACCACCAAGTAATTTGTACAAAATACATGAGAGTACTGTTAGTATTATTTGAAAGGTAATGTGAAATGGAACTGGGAGGTGCATGATACAGAAATCCTGTGTTCCTTGCTGCTTTCAGTTTTTAGTGTTTATCATATTCTCTGAATGATGTGACCTGCTCATTAGGAAGGATGAACAAACTCTCAAACACCCCCAAATTTGGCTTTTCAGTGGTAAGGCAAAATGGGCATTCTGGAGCTTTATTTATTTATTTTGAAAATGAAATTTTGTGGCCTGAAACAAAACACATTTTGTCCATTGCATCTACTTCTGGGTATTGGATGGACAAGGAAAAAGGTCTTGATTTTGAACTCCTGGCACTTACAAATCTCATATTGTTTTCTCATTTGAAGCAGTAGCTTTGGTACTGTCTCTTTTTTTGCATTGTCCCTATAAGGAAAATAAAATGGAGAGACAGAACTGTCCTTAAGAAAGCTAATTTTGAAGAACTCTCTCTATAAACTTATTTATTCCCAATCTAGAAAATGGGCATGAGTGTCTGGATATAGAGGTGAGTTTTCAGAGGATATCAGTGTTGCCTCGTTGCTGGCTGGAGGGATATTCTAGGAACTGCAGCTCTCCATTCACTCACTGATGGTGATGGCAGGTTGTGGCATCAGCATTTCACATGTCATTTTGAGGTCACTTCTCAGAAGGAGTTGGTGCCTTCCCTGGTGTGGGCGCCAGGCATGACACAGACTGTCCCTGTTGAGGGGTGCCAGCCTGGCTCACACTGAGTCTGCAGGGAGAAGTGGGTATGGAAGTCAAGATCTCAAATAGGTGGATGAGTATTGCAGTCACGTTTCCTGTCCCCATTCTGTAAGCATGTAAAAGCTTTCGTCTTTCCTTTTTGCTTTTCTTCAGGTGAAAATGCTGCACGTCAGTGAAACGGTTAACGTTCTGTCTGCAAGAGTGCTATTTCTAACCTACATTCTGCTGTTCTGACCTACAGTTCTGGTTTGGCATTCTGCCTCTGTAAAAGAAATGGTTGGAGTGCAGCTCTTCAGAAATATTCCTGAACGCTTAGTGTTGTTCAGATGGATTTGGTTGGTACAGTGAGAGTCGTAATGCCTCCAATCAGCAAACATTACAGTAGGTGTTAGAAATTTCTCGATCGTGAGGTTCGTGATGTAGCTTGTCAAGAAAGGGAAAAGAAACTGGTTTCTATAGCAATAATTCATTTGCTAACCTGAAAGGATGTAATTCTATAGATGACTGTTCCTCTTCATCTAATCCCTGTAATATGCAACATGAGGAAATGTTGTGATTTCTCATTTAATTTCCTCCAATTATTTCCAAAGAAAAAATGGGAAAATAGGAGACAGATACCATCTCTGTCTGATTGTAGGTGATCCCTGTTGGGTTTTGAAGCATAGAATTCACTGATGCAGACAGGGCTGAAATTCATACTGATGCTTGGCAGATTGCTTTCTGGTTAACAAGGCAGTAGCATGCACATTTACATTTCACTGTCTCTCTTCCTGCCTTGGAGCTTCGAGTTTGTAGAACACAGGGGAGGCTGAAGTTGAAATTACTCTTCTGCTTTCCTTCTGGAACTGTGTGTGACTTTTCTGTTATTTGTAATAATGTAATGTAAGGTTTTTGACATGTACTCTACGTCTTTCTCTCAAGACACTTGCAGTCTTCCTTGTACAAACTGCCTTACCAGCAATCCTGTGATTGCCATGCTGGCAGGAAGAATGTGGCATGCATAAAGCATTGCAGGGAGAAGATTTTGTTGAGCTCTGCTAGAATCTCAGAATTCTGTGAAGTTTATATAGATTCATAGAAATGGATTTTTTTCTCTTGCCTTTTCCTCCAGCCCTCCCCCAAATTTAATTTATTTTCATGGTTAAGAGAAGAAAAGCGTTGTTATACAATTTGGACTACTTACCATAATGTTTTGTAAGTGTCTTTTTAAGAATTTAAGTTTTAAAGATAAGATGAAGGAACTTAAAATAGAAAAGTATGGAAAATATGTGTTTAGGGAATTGTAGAAGTGTCTGTAAAAGCTTTTCCAAACGTGAGCTGAAGGCAAGCATCAGAGCATCAAAAATAGGAAGAGTTGAGAAAGTGTTGTTCACCAGCCTTAGCTCTGGTTTGGGGGAGGAAGGTTTGTAAACAAACAAACAATACTGTGTTCCTGTGAATTGCTTTGGTCCTGTAAATAACAGACTTCTTCTGTATTAGAATGAGACAGGTAAATAATTAATACTTTCATTTTGAGGATCACACTTAATGCTCTTTTTCATTTTCTTTTTCTCCTCTTGAGGTACCCACTGTAACCCACCAAGGAAAGTTTGTCTTCTGCATGTTTCACCATCTTAAGGATGTGGGGCCAAGCAGAAAGTGGTTGGGGTTTAGTTTTTGCCGTTATGCTTCTGTGCAAATAAAATGTTACTTTGCATACTTTGTTTTCACTGTGACCACATTTGTTTTCACAGCCCGAGGAAGAGCTTGATCCTGAAGAGAGGGACAACTTCCTCCAACAGCTCTATAAGTTTATGGAAGACAGAGGTAATGCCAAATGAATTTTCTTTCATCTTCAGTCCACTTTTCTACTGGCTTTTAAATATGTAGTGGATGTTGTTATGAGCATGTTCTCACATCAGTGAACAAGGATAACAGCCTAGACAGGGGAAAACACTTCTACCCATTTTCACGTGGCAAATCTGCTTCAAGTTCTTTGAAGCACAGTGCACAAAGAAAACTTAAATCCTCCTTGAGATGTTATTGTTTTGCTTTTGTAAAATCTTTTTTTGTGTGTTAACAGTCACTGTTAAATAAGCTCTTGGCTGTTTTCTTGTATCAGCCACAGCTGGGAGCTCTGCTGCTGTTAGACTCAGGCTGGAACCTGAGGAGGCTGTACATGGATGATGAAATTCAGCCAACAGATCATAAGAGAAGTGCCATCTTCAGCCCCTTGCCTTAATCATGCGCAGTCGTAGCAGTGATACTCACCTGAAGAAAGAACATTCTACTTTGTCCAGTAGCTAGAACAAGAAAATGGCATACTTAAGATGATTTTACATACAGAATTAAGTGAGACTGTAATGAATTGGAACAGTTAATGTCCTGGGGTAAGACATCCATTAGAAAGGCTTGTGCAATGTTTAGGTAGTCAGCAGGTACATCCTGCTCTCTTCAGAGAGCTGTTGTGTAAGCCATTCACATTTGCAGTTGTGATGAGACTGATGCTATATGTGGTGTCAGAATATTTCTCCCTTATTTCCTTTTAATGGAAAAAAAAAGTGGATTTTATAGTGGAAATACATTAAGAAAAAACAGCTTACCTTTTGTTAAAGATGCTCTGCATTGCTACGTCTGTGACTGTGAAAGTCTGTTCAGTATTGCCAGTGCTTATCACAGGCTTAGAAACAGATCATGTATTGTGGCAGAGTGCCAGTATCATTTTGAGTCTGTCTGTGTAGAACCAGTGCTTCTACAGATAACCTGCCTTGGAGAAGTAAGAGGTTCTTAGGGAAAAATAAAAATTAATAATTAAAAAAAAAAAAATGTTGCTGGAGTAATCCAAATTTTTTCACTTTCCCAGTTGCCTGGGTCCTCCCCCTTCTGTTTTCTTCCTTCCCCACTCCCTTAAGCACTCTTAGAAACCTTCTACAAACCAAGAGGAGGGATGACATCACTGACTTGCAGAGGAGAAACAGGAAGGTGTTTGTGCGCTTAATTTGAAGACCCAGTGTGGAAATTGTTCCTTAATGCAGTGTGTTGATTGAGCAATATTCAGGACTTTTCAGGACTGCATCTTTCTCCCTGCCTTTTTTCCCCCCCTTTTTTTTTTTTTTTTTAACCTGTGCCCTTTTAGCAGTATTTCTATTCTTGCCAGATTTGTCCTATATTCTCTTCTCAGACTATGAATGTTTTCATTCATATAATCATAACATTATTCCCAAAGTCCTACAGAGTTATTTTCAGGATTCTAAATACTATTGCATGAAGATGAATGGAGATGACAAAGCAGTGGGAAATGGGCTGATACTCCTCCATGCTGGGAAGGATGCTGTACATATGCAGCCACTTTCCCGAAGTCACTTTCGGTTTCTCCTTTTGTAATTAATTATTGTTCTTTAGATCATTGCCACTCATCTGATTCAGATTCGTTCTTTTTCCCAGAGTGGTCCCAAATATTCACATCCTATTAGGAATTTGTGTTGTTTCACGTCCTGATTGTTTGTCTGTGTTGCATTACAAAAAGAAACGTTTCTGCCCCCTTTCCATTCCTTTCAGACCACAGTACTTGGAGTTGATCTTTTCACATATTGCAATATTCCAGCATTCATCAGGCACTCTGTACAGCTTGCTGCAATTCTGCTGCCCCCCACCTCCAAAGGGAAACAGTGGGATGCAGCCAATTGGATAGGGATTATTGCACAAATCATAGTTATCAGGCAGCTGCTGCCAGCACGCTAATAAACCACCCAGAAATTTGTGATGTGTTCAAAAGAGGGTGAAGCCTTGATTGTTGGTGGGAAACTACTGACTTGTGACACATCTTGGAGCTATGAAATAGAAATGTTAAAATGTAGAAGACTATCAGTAATGAACTGTGCGCTGAATGAATGGGGGAAGCAGTTTGCTGTTGTATTGTGTGTGATCATTTGTATTTCTATTTTTGTTTTATTTAGGTACTCCTATCAATAAACCACCTGTTCTGGGCTACAAGGACCTTAATCTCTTCAAACTGTTTAGACTGGTATATCAGCAGGGTGGGTGTGACAATGTAAGTGTGGGGTGTTCCCGAAACTAAATGTCTCATCGTTCGTAAAGGTTGTGACTTGTGTCTGTGTTAAGTGTCAGTCCTTAATGTTCTTGATTAATAAAACATGGAAACTTACATTTCTCTTTTTTTTTTATTTTCTCCCCCCAAAGATTGAGAGCGGTGCTGTTTGGAAGCAAATTTATATGGACCTTGGCATTCCTATTTTGAACTCGGCTGCTTCTTACAATGTAAAAACTGCTTACAGAAAGTAAGTTCTATTGTGAAACGATGAAAACATTGCTTTTTGGTGGTTGTTGTTGCTGCTAATAGCATGTACAGCATTCAAGCAATTTTTGATAGTTTAATGGAACAGTAGTTGACATTCTTCAGTTAATTAGTAATTTTGAGCATTTTCCATTGCCAAGGATTGAATTGATGGAGGAAAGAAGGAGTGCTCAGGGCTGCATTAGAATTCTGCTCATTTTTTTAATCAAGAAACATTCATTTCAGCATACATGATGCCATTTCAGCATACAACAACAAAAGTTATTAAAAAATACCTTGGCAAATTCAGGTTTGCAATTTATGATTATTAATCTCAGTTGCATGCTGTTCAAGTCCTAGATGCTGCCTACAGAGAGCAGATTTTCTTATATCAGTTTTTTTTTTAACTTCCTCACAAATGTTGATAGAGAAGGATATCAAACTGCATGTTTAAATGTCATCTTTGTTTGGATTCTGTAAATTAATAGCTTTAGAATTACACAATTAATATATATTACTATGGTGGATATGACAGTGTTGTGTAGTAGAACTACTACTGTAATAGAAATGTGTGAAACTTTATTCTAACACCTGCTTTTGAGTCACGTTCTTACTTATGAAATGGAAACCTTTTAGAATTCACAATTTTTCAGGCTCTTTTTCTAAATAAAGATTATTTTTATTATTTATTCTCCTGAAAGTTTGAACAAGAAACAATTGGGCTTTTTGAGTAAAAGGGAAGAATGAGGTTCTCTTGACTCGAACCTAAGGAAATTTGGCTGATTGAATAGGGATGAATGACTAATGACTCAACTCATGTTAATGTTGATGAAGATGAAAATGTTCAGACTGTCTTCAGTGGCATTTGAAGTGGGCACATATTTAAGGTCTGTATTTTACAGAGAAGAGTATGTATCATTAAAAAAAGTAAATATGTGCTAGGTTGCTGTTGATGTGAAAATAATTGTTGTACAGACACATGATAGTGTGCTGTGGTTTGCATATTTATTCTTTGAGGGATCTGCTACTTCACATTTCCCTCACCTGTGTAGGTTTAGAGTGTGTACACAGGCAGTTAACGGAGAACAAGCTGATGCATGATGATTTGTTACCTTGTGGTAACTTGTTTATTTGCCTGTATTCTAATACTGGGCTGATCTTTGCTGTCACTCCATGTTTGCAAAACTGTAAATGTTCTTAGGCTTCACTGTCATGAGCTCTTACTTGAAGAGAGATGAAGTTAGATTTGTGGGAAGCCAAGCACCTGTTTGTACCTGCTGAGTTGTCTTTTTCACTGTTTGACTTCTTGTTCAGAGTTGTTTTATTTCAAAAACTGCTCTTCTGGTTTTTTTTTTTCTTGAAGTTATTGTTTTTCCCTGTGAGCAGGAAAATAGGGTTTTTTGCACTTAGATAAACAAAAAGAAAAGCTGAAATGTAAATGAAACTCTTACTTGTTTCATACAGGTATCTTTATGGTTTTGAAGAGTACTGCCGTTCTGCAAACATTCAGTTTAGGACCATTCATCACAATGAACCAAAAGTGGTAGAAGACGTTCAGAAACACGAGGAACCAATGGAGGAGAGTGTGAAAGAGGAGCAAAAAATGCCTCCAACAGAAGTAAAAAAAGAAGCAGAAGAAAATTATTCCAGCAGCGAGAGCGAAAAAGAAGAAATAGAACTAAGATCCCCAAGGGTAAGTAGTTCAAACTGATTTCTATTTAGTACTTAAACCCTTTGTATATTGAACAGTTTACATAATGAGTTTTCCCTTGTGCAGCAACTGCACATTTGAATTAGCACGCTTATAGGACAGTATTCAGTGAACAAGAGTTGGTGTTCAGCTGTTAATTATGTTTTGATTATTTCTTCACTTTGTAAACCTTTCATAGGATTTGCTAAGGCTGTGTTGGTTGTCAGTTATGTTTCTATTCAGGGATGGTTTGAGAGCTATTGAGAGCTGTATGTCATCAGAACAGTGCGGATCAGCAGGATAGTCTTGATTTTGGGTGAGAATTTCCACTTGCACGTGGAACCTGAGGCTTTGTGTCAAGAAGCAGGTATATCAAGGGACTGCTGAAGCCTTAAGAATCAAAGGAAGACCCATTTCTTACCACAGAAAGAGTTGATTCTTGGCACAGTATCTCTTCACAATATACTTAAATGTTCAAGTCACTGTGCAATGTCCCTGTCAAAGATACTTTAGTAGTAAAATGATAAACCTGTACTAGAGCCCCAAGAATCAGTCTGAGAAAGTCCTAAACAGCAGTTGTCCCACTGCTGAAAATACCTTTTAAACATTCAGTATTTCTAAAGCTGACAGATTTCTGGGAAATCAACAGGTAGCTGTTGGGACTGGAGACACTAAAAGGAAGGTGCCTTGTCTCAGTCCAATACGAGCACTTAAACAGCATTGCTGTTGTTGTCAGGGACAACAGACCTTACAGGCATCCTGAAATTCTCCCAGCCTCATCTTCTTTATTCCCAATCAAGCAAAATTATTTTATTTTGCTTTTTTTTTTTTTTTTTTTTGTTTCCCCTTGATAACAAAACTGCTTAAGTTAATATCTTAAGATTTTAGAATACTTTGCTTTTTGGTGTTATCTCCAGCCTTTCTTCCATACAGGAGTAGTGTATTTGGAGAGCCTGTACAGAGAACAAGTGACAGTAGATTTTAACCAGGTTTTCTTCCTTTTCTAGGGACGAAGACGGCTTGCCCGTGACACAACCCCTGCTAAAAAAGATAGTGAAGATGATAAAACACAAGACAAATTAAAAGACAACAACAAGGAAAACAAAGATATAGAGGAAACCCTTGAGAATGCAGAAAAGAAAGAAAATGAAACTCTGCTAGGAAGAAAAAGTACGCCAAAGCAAAAAGAGAAGAAGATTAAAAAACAGGAGGACTCTGATAAAGAGTCAGATGAAGATGAGGAGAGGCAGAGGGAGAGGTAAGCATTAATTTGTGTCACATTCTTAGCAGTGTATCTGTGTCAGAGCACTTCCTAAGCAAGTGCATCCACAGAGTTTGGAGGTCTGACTAGTTTCTAAAGTGTGAAAATCAGAAACCTCATTTGCTCTCCTGGAAAGGAAAAGGAAACTGCTATTTTGGGCTTGTAGAGTTGATTATATTTTAAGGAATTACCTTTTTCTGGTAGATGGCAGGCAATATTTTTCACTTCCATTTTCTTGAAGGTCCTGCCAAGGTCTTGTTTAATCATGCTCCTATGTAGACAACAAGTAAGACAGGCTGTTGTATGGATGGTGAGCAACTGGGCAGTTAAAACATAAACCATAAGCAGTTAAAACATAAAACTTCTCTGTTAGTGATGGCTGGTGAACGTACAGCTCACTTATTTTCATGGTTACTTAAACGTATCGTTGGTAGGCAGAAGTTCAGTTAAGAAAGCAAAGGAGAAGAAAAGAGGAGTTTGAATAAAACCTGAAGATAAGTTGAAAACTATTTGATGGAGAGATACAGAATGGCAAAGACTGAACAGCGGATGGATGAGGAAAGAGTAGAGAAAAGAAACAATTTTCCAAGGGAAAATATTGTCCAGAAACAAAGTTTAACAACTTGAAGTGGGTTTGGTCAGAAACAAGCTTTAACCAGGTGTCTCACATTATTGCCAGAGTGGTTAAGGGCATTATCTTAGTTGTTTAAGCTGGCCTGCCTGCCTTGTTTTTCTTGTCCATGTGGCTGAATTGTGTGGGACGCAGCTGATACTGAATAAATCCTGGTGGGGCTATTTCATGTTTTCCTTTAAGGAGGTTTGAGGATTGGGAGTAACACACAGTTATTTTAAAGAAAGCTTCACTATGCAGCCTAAAGAGAAATATTTCAACAGACTGTAGTATGTAAAAAGGGGGTGCAGTGTGGGTGTGTGGCAGGTTGCAGTTATGTCAAGTGACTAGGGCATCAAAGATAGTTTTAAGTAATGCAGGTGGTGCTCATCATCTTTATTTTTATTCTGTTTGCTACAACAGAATAGTTCATCTGTCCCTGAAGGCTGATGAATACATTTTATTAAAAGTAAACTTGTAGTTTTTCAGGATTTCCTTTACTGCTGACTATTCTTGTAGTTTAACATCACTCTAAGTTCACCCTAACAACAGATTATGATTGTTGGAACTATGTTTAGATATTGTGTTCCAAGGTTGGATATTACTAATAATATGTAGGTGTAGACAGAAGAGCTGTGTAGACACTTCTGATCTTGGTTAAAATTGTGGTAATCAATATTTGTTCCATTGGAATGGTGTTAATATCTGCAGTGGGATCACTGCCCTTCAAACTTCCATATGCTGTTAATAAACTTCAGGCTATTAAGCAATGTGTAGAAGGAAGAGACTCTTTTTTTACAGTAGTGTGTCAAAAGCAATTATATTTTAAAAGCTGAAGTTAGTTTTTCCTGTCTTAGAAGCCAAACATTGAGTTGATTTATTCCTCTTTCTCAGTTATCTAAATTTTGTTTTTAAATCCTAAGCCTGCAGAGTTGTGTTCAGGCTGGCTTCAGAGGCAGGGCGTGATGCAGAAAATGAACATTTTTGTTACAAGTCTTTTTTCTTTGGTAGTAGCTTGGCTGTGCTAATTAAATGTTAAAACTTTGTCACTAATTAGTGGGTATTTAAAATACATTTTATTGCAGGGAGGAGATTGAGAACAAAGGAGAATCAGAAGGTGAAGAGGATGAGGAGGATACAGAACCTTGCCTGACTGGAACCAAAGTGAAAGTAAAATACGGACGTGGAAAGACTCAGAAAATTTATGAAGCCAGCATTAAAAGCACTGAGACTGATGATGGAGAGGTTTTATATTTAGTGCATTACTATGGTTGGAATGTAAGGTGAGGAGAAAGCATCATTTTTCATGTCTTGATTTCTAAAACGATTATTACTTCCAAAAGATTTTGTTTTTAAGAAAAAAGGAGAAGGATAATCAGTGGCTTGGCTGGAATTGAATTGTCAGCATGGTAACGTTACCTGATTGTTACATTTTTCAGTGGTAGTAATTTTGTTCATGGCATGTTGCTGTAGTATTAAAATCTCAGAATGCACTTGTATGTTTCCAAGTTTCCATCCTGCTAACGCTGAGTAATCCTCTCTCCTCACAGAAGTATCCATGTAATTTTTGTGCCAGCTGGTGTTTCCAGCATCAGACTTATGTTTAAAGGAAGCACTGGTAATAAGGAAGATGCCTTCAATTAGAAGATATACAGGCACTGAGATTTTGGCAACAGAATCTATTCTTGGATTCAGTGTTCCCTGTGATTATCAAGAATGGTTGTTACGTGTGGGGAGGTTAGGAGAGAGCCCAGCAGCAAGGAACTAGAGAAAAAAAAATGATCAAATACTTCTCTTGGCAGCCATGTTTTATATTCAGTCCAGCTGTAGAATTTACTAGGTTTTGTTGTTTGTTGGAAAATGGAGGTTACATAAGCAAAAATATAACAGAATTAATTGTTTATTATTATTATTTTTAATAAAGCCTTTCAAGTAAGTAACTTTAGATGCTCCAAGTCTGTGAATTTCTGAGTAAATTCAGCAAATTCCTTTTTGTGGCAGTGTGAAGTTTGTTTGTGAGGTTGGTATCCTTCAGACAGTTTAATGGAAATTCAGAAACTATTACTAGATTTTTTTTTGAAACTTAATCTAATAACTTATTAGCAATTTAGTTGCTAATAAAGTTTCTAATGCCAGATACTCCATACGTCTGTACATCTGTGCTCTACTTTGCTGCCTCTCCTTGGTAAATGTTTTCTGTAATTTTTTAAACATCGTATTGCAAACAGCCTTTTTGTGTCTGATATGTTGTGACTTGCTTTTAGGTATGATGAATGGGTGAAAGCTGATCGCATTATCTGGCCTGTGGACAAAGGAGGACCAAAGAGAAAACAGAAGAAAAAAACAAAAGTAATATAGATGATTTCAATAAGTTTCTTGTAGTACCATACTTATGACTATCAATGTTCCTTATTTAAAAAAAAAAAGATGATTCAGTCCATGCTCTGGCTTTCTAATAAATGCTCAGGGAAAAAGGAGAAAAAGTTTGCACCTTACTAAAATGTTAATTTTCTCCCTCAGAATAAAGAAGACAGTGAAAAGGATGAGAAGAAAGATGAGGAGAAACAGAAATCAAAGCGTGGGCGACCTCCTCTGAAATCCACTCTTCCATCAAACACATCTTTATCCAAAACACCTAATAGTGAAGGTAAATCAGGAGCCAGAAGTGCACGGAACAACTTGTCAGATTCCTCACCTTTGCCAAATGGAACAGAAGGTACATCTGATGCACTCTTGTTCTGGCATGGAAGTGCATGTAAACAGTGATGTAATGCAGTGCATTAACACGACAACTTCAGTGAACAGAGTGCTTTCAGAAGCTTTAAAATCCTACTTAACCAGTCAGTGTACAAGCAGTATGACAAAAACACATTTCTGGTGCAGATTTGACTCTGTGAAAATTAATATTTTCAATTTTGATTTTAGCAACACCTCGCAGGCAGACAAGACGTAGCTCAGGAATGTTTGATTCTGATAGAGGATCAAACGGTGAGTGATCTCAGTCCTGTGTATGTTTTTGAGGGTTTTTTAGTACCTTTTTTTGAAAAGAAATTTGATTTTGAAAATTATTTTTTATTATTATTTTTTAATCTGCCTGTGAATTTTATTGAGGAAGTAGGTGAATTGAAACTGCTGGAGAACACAATTTGCTCACAGAAGAGCCATGGCATGGAAGTAACAGTGCAAGTCATCCCATATTCTTTAGCCAGAGCTTTTCAGTCTTAATCCTGAACAGACCTAGTAGAATAATAATAGTGTTTATAATGGAAATTAAGTCCTCAGCCTCAGTACTACATCATCCAGTAAAGAAGTTAATTATATACAAATGACAGTGATATTTCTGGTATTTCTAAGCCTCTGCAAATCAGAATTGAAGTGAAATCGCCGTCTCTTTTTAGTGTGGGTCCCTGAATAATCTTCTGGTAACATAATAATGCTTAAGTTTTACGTGGTGCATGATTCATACAATAATTTAGCAATGTCCACATGGGAATCTGTACAATTATTTTAGCTACTAGAAACTGTGATACAATTATACTGGATAATTTAGGAAATAGTACTGCCATCACTACTGTTGTTGAATAGGGGTTTGGGGTTGCAAAAAGAACTGTAGTAAGTGGATTTATTGTTGTTGTTTGGGATTGCTTATTGTAAATTGATTTTAATTGCAGAGATGTCTGGAAAAGAGTTTGTGTGTAGTTGAAAAAAGTAATAGTTCTGTAATAAATGACCTAGGGTGCTGTTCCCTTCTATTTCTTTATTTCTTTATTTTAAAATTTTTGCAGACTCTGCTTCGTCTGACAGTGAGGCAGATGAGTCACCTGAGAAGAACATGAATGAGGAGTTTTCTCCAGAAACTTCAGAACTGGAAAAAAATGAAAAACAAAATGATGAGAAGCTAGACGAGGAAAGCCCAAAGATTCCTCATGCACTGAGAGAAAATGACAGGACTCAAGTGCAGCCATTAGAAATCCTGAAACTGGAAGTTGAAGAAAGTGAACAAATAGTGCAGGTTTTTGGGAATAAAACAGAGCAAATGGAGGAAGTCAAGAGGGAAGCTGAAAAATCACCTAAAGGAAAAGGGAGAAGGAGCAAGACAAAAGATCTCTGCTTAGAGAATGCAAAGGTTTCTCCAGGAAATCAAGAAGAGGTGGCTAATGAGTCTCTTACAGAAAGTGAAAGATTAGACATGTCTTCCTTGGACTGTAAAGAGTTTTCCAGCACTACTGAAACTGAAACAGAACCTTCCACAAAAGATAAGAAGCTTTTGAAAAGGAAGACTTCGGAGCAGGCTTCACCTGAGAAAAGAAGTCGACGAGAGAGTGAGATGGAAGTCCCAAATATTGTATCTGAAGAGAGGACCAATGAATGTACTGGGTCAGAGGAATGTAGAGGGTTGAATGCTGAAGAGTCACTCAGAACTGAAAATGAAGAAATGCCATCCCTCGTGGCAGAATCAGTGCAGCCCGGGCAAGAAGTGAGGAGCGAGAACTTTCAGTGTCCATCTGAAGAGAATGATAACGTTCCCTTGAAAGATGAGGATGACACAATGCCTCACATTGGTCCTGAAACTTTGCTCTGTCATGAAGTAGACTTGGATGACTTGGACGAAAAGGAGAAGAGCAGTAGTGAAGATACAATATCAGAAAAGCCAAATCCCAATACTTCAAATCCAGCTGCCTTACCCGCTGCTGTCCAGTCAAGCTTCTCAGTGGCCTCACCTCTGACACTTAGTCAAGATGAGTCCCGCAGCATCAAGAGTGAAAGTGACATGACAATTGAAGTGGACAGCGTGGCAGAAGAATCTCAAGAAGGGCTCTGTGAGAGTGAGTCTGCTAATGGATTTGAAGCCAGCACTACGTCCAGCAATTGTAGTATAGTGGTGCCAGAAAGAGACGTTGGAGAGAAGGGTGAGCATTTCCTGTGAGGTGTCAGGCTTCATTTGTAGTGATTTCTGGTCTTCTTTAAGTCTGGTATTACGTTGCTAAAGCTCAATAGTTTGCTTTGCCTTCTAGCTTTTAATGTCCTTCTTCCTTATAAAAAAAAGTGCTGGCTAATAGCAGAAATACTTGAGATGCTTTCTTTTTTTTCTCTCTAACTCATGTAGGTCAAAAAAGGCCCAGTGATAGCAATAGTGGAACACTGGCAAAAAAACAAAAGCGTACTCCAAAGCGAACAAGTGCTGCAGCCAAAAATGAAAAGAATGGAACAGGTACATTCCTCAGGGAGATGAGGGGGAGGTTATGCTGTCATACAAACATGCATAGGGCCCACTGTTTCACTGTGACATGTTCTTTCTGTTAGATAGAACTTGTGTTCCCATAGCTCATTTTTGGTGATTAGATCCAAACTGAAGAGGCTGAATTGAATGAGTCAATGTATTTAGGCACTGCAAGAGCACTGTTAAAGTTTTAAAATATCAAGATAAAATAGTAATTATCTGACATAAAATATTCAAGCATACTTAACTGGTTATGTGGAATATTGTAATTATTGTGGGAATCCAAAATATTTGCGTATTCTGTAGCTTACAATTTTCTGTTTCTCGTTAAAGCTTCTGTGCTGTTAGTCATGTTTTAGAAGTGTTTCAGGCTTTTAAAGCAATTTAGTAAATATACAAAGCAGTCTAGAATATCTATACAATTGTGTGTTACCTGCTTGTATTAATACAGGTGGGTTTTTTTGTTTGTTTTGTTTTTAAATAAAACTGTTCTAGTGGCTGCTTTCAATTAGAATCCCAAAATATGTGACAAAGGCACCTTGTGAATCTGATGCAGTTTTTCCAGTGTGCATTTTTGGAATGTTCTGAGCAAGAAGCAGCTGGTCTGTCTTAATAATTTTTCTAACTACTACTCTGCAGCTTTAAAACCTTGATCATTTTCATGAAATTTAAATACATTTCTCTTACTGCAGGACAAAGCAGTGACAGTGAAGACCTCCCTGTCCTGGACAGTTCCAGTAAATGTACTCCTGTAAAACACTTAAACTCATCAAAACCACAGAAGATTTCTCGATCACCTGCAAGAGTGATTTCACCTCACATCAAAGATGGAGAAAAGGATAAACACAGAGAGAAACACCACCACCAGAATTCTTCACCTAGAGTATACAAATGGAGTTTTCAGCTCAGTAAGATTGTTTGTTTTTTTTTTTTTAAATATCAACCAAAATTGTGAAAGACAAACTTTCTTGAGGCATTGGACTTTCAGTATTTTAGAAAAGCTTCAGCAGAGCCTTTGGAATTAATCCTTAAGTTTCATAATTATGTTCACTACTATTTCATTTAAAATAATAATACATTGAAAATTACCCTTTTTTTTTTTTTCCCCATTTAACTTAGACAGGGGAGGTTTAGGTTGGATATTAGGAGGAAGTTTTTCAGCCAGAGGGTGGTGAGGCACTGGAACAGGTTGCCCAAGGAGGCTGTGGATGCCCCATCCCTGCAGGCATTCAAGGCCAGGCTGGATGTGGCTCTGGGCAGCCTGGGCTGCTGGTTTGCGACCTGCACATAGCAGGGGGTTGGAACTGGATGAGCATTGTGGCCATTCTGTGATTCTGTGATACCTCCTCCCATGTTTCTTTGTTCACTTGATCCCAGATAACTTTTGGCCATCTTTCAGTAAATTTGGGATTATGAAGCCACTGTACACTGGAATCCCAACTCTCCTATGCTCCTCAAAAAAGTGAATGTGACCAAAAATTGAGGCTTTGGTGAAGTGGTCAAAGTATTAAATTGCAGTTCAGGAACTGAGACTGCTAAAATCAAGGCTGTGATTGAAGAGATGGTGATTAGAAGATAGGACACTAGGCAATTATTTGCTGTATCTTATCTTGGTTTTTCATTATAAATATAGCTTAAAACTAAAATTGGTAAGGAGAGTTTATTGAGTGTTAGATACCTCCCTCCTCTCCCTGAAGTGTTATTGTTTAAAGAAGGATTAAGAGTGCATCTAGCAGGAAAAGTGGAATATCTGCAGTGTAGCCTTTCCTCGTGGGCAGCATGATTCTTACTTGTGTTATCTGCCTGCTTTAAGGGCCTTGGATTGTGGGGAATTTGCAAGAAAATTCCTTCTAGAAAATTGTGAGTTTTGACATTCTAAATGAGGCGTGTGCCTTTTTGGTGTAGTTGAGAGAGGCATGTGTTATCTTTCATGCTCCATCTTGTATACTCCAAGAGTTGCGTTCATTTCTTTAAGATCACCTGGATGAAGCTGTTCTCCCTTTTCTTCCTCCTTTTAAGATGAACTGGACAACATGAGCAGCACTGAAAGGATCTCCTTCTTACAAGAAAAGCTGCAGGAAATCCGAAAGTACTACATGTCTCTGAAGTCAGAAGTAGCCACCATAGACAGGAGAAGAAAGCGGTTAAAAAAGAAAGACAGAGAAGGTAATGTTCAGATTTGCTTTATGGACTTAAATGATCTCCACAGGTCCCCTCCTGCCCCTATTATTCTGTGTGATTCTATGTATGCTTCCCATGAGGTTTTCAGCATTTTTTCTGGAATATACAGAATCTGAAGCAATTATTTGACAGCATTCTGGGGGAGAAAAAGTGGTATCTGTTTATTCTTTTTGTATGTGTACATATTTAGAAAGAGTATCTTTGACTTTCCAGAATGTGAACCTAGCAAAAACGTTTACTGACTGTATTGTAATTGTCCATTGGAAATTTGGAATTTCTAGGGAAATTATGGTCGGAGTTTTAAGTTGAGGGAAGATTTAAGTTGGATATCAGGGGGAAGTTCTTTCCAGTGAGAGTGGTGAGGTGCTGGAACAGCTGCCCAGAGAGACTGTGGATGCCCCATCCATCCCTGGAAGTGTTCAAGGCCAGGTTGGATGGGGCCCTGGGCAGCCTGGGCTGGTATTAAATGTGGAGGTTGGTGGCCTTGCTGTGGATTGCAGGTTGATGATCCTTGAGGTCCTTTCCAACCCAAGGCATTCTGTGATTCTGTTTTGAGTCAGCATAGTAACCAATCTAATGGATTGTTGCAGTTGGTGTGTGATGCAGGGCTGGTAAGGTTACTCATCCAGTTCGTGTGAATATAACAACGGAAGGAGTTGCCAAAAATTCACATCTGTTTCTGCAATATGCCAAATCTGTGAGGTCTTTTTAATATGTATTCAGTGTATGCACCTTCATTCTCACGTGTGCTTTGATCATCTGATGCTGATATGTTCTCTGTCTTCAGTGTCTCATGCAGGAGCATCCATGTCATCTGCTTCATCAGACACTGGAATGAGTCCATCGTCGTCCTCCCCTCCACAAAACGTGCTTGCTGTAGAATGCAGGTGATACACATTGCTCTGCCTTGCCAGCAGCTTGCTGCCATGGACTTCAATCCTGACATTCAGCCACAGAAAGCACTCGACTGGTTTGACATTGCCAAGTATATCCTGTACACACTTCCACTGCTGGACTGTATCTGTTCTCCCCTCCTACCCTCTATTTTGTTGTTGTTGTTTTGTTCTGTTTTTAAGTTACCGTTCGGAGAAATTAAGCTCATTGAAGGTTTGTAGGCACAACGTGACATGCTTGTCATTGTGTTTGTTTCTGTTTTGTTTTTGTTAATGCAGAGCAAGGGCACTTATCAAATTTGAAAAGTTATGTCCAATGAAGCATTCAGGTGTTCTCGGGTAATCTTAAAAAAGCAAGTGCACCAGGTAGAGACATCAGAGTATTATCCAAATGAACTGAGTAACTGCTGCACTTTCACCGAGCCGTGGTAACTCTCGGTGAGTAGTTCCTCTTTGTGGAAGCACTTGCTATACAGAACTGCCAAAGTACGTGTTCAGCAATGTGCCCAGTTTTAAAGGTGTAAATGGGACAAAATAAATTGTGAAAGGAAGTGTAGTTGACTGAAAACTACAGTTGTAATAAGTCTTCCACTTTTTATAGGATTTTTGAGCACACGATTATGCAAATATTTTAATGTTTATTAATGTTTACAGTGGAATTGTGAATAGGTTTTCAGTGGACTATCTTATCCCTTGACAAAAATATTTTGTCTTTTTTTCTATGTAATTTCAGAGTTTTTATTTTGTTACAAAAAGACGAAAAATGAATATATAACAACAATGAAGTTATTTAACAAGATTTCTAAAGCTGAAATTTTTGTGTAAAATAAGGTATCTTGCAACTTGTTAAATATATTTATTCAGACATTGGATGTTGTATTTTTATGTATTTTTTAAAATATTAATAAAATTGGAAAAAAAGAAAAAAAAAAAAAAAGCAACCAACCAAACTAGGTTAGTTCACTCTTTCGATAAAACATATTTGTCAGTTCTGGCTCTCACAGGAGGATTTACCCGTGCCTGCATTGAAATGGGTCCGGCTCTGTGTCCTCCACAACGCAGATCTGTAAGCGGGCATCTGGATTCAACTCTGACTTTGGTTGGAAAACTTTGGCAGTCCTACTCACCTTGTTTGGAGGAACGGAATCTGTTGGGTTGCCCTTAAGATACTTTGTCGCGAGTTCTTATGTTTGCTATGCTGCCGAATGAATTTCTATCTCCCAAAGTTGAGATGCAACCATAAGGTAAAGCAACTTTGTATGTTTCGTCTGTGGATTGTCCCACAGACAGATACAGTTTGTAAATAACTCTTCCAAAACCATGTATTTAAAGCAGTTTGCATATACATTATGTATAAAAGCGATTTTTTATCAATTTTTTTATTCATGTTTGTACATTGGAAGGGGTTCTTGGCCCCTTTTTCTGTGTTTAATATGCTGTAGACTAATAACATAGATGCTCTAGACTGTATATCGGGATATTCTGGTTCACACAGCAGAAAGTCAGAACGAAACACTAGTGATGGAGTAGCATTACTAAAATCAATGTTTCTTGAAATCTCATTTTACAACATTTGTCAACTTGTGATTCCAATTCCTTCCATTTTTGCAGAAAATTAAAGAAAAAGTACTCTTGTAAATGCACTTTTTCTGTCTTTTCTTAAGCAAAGCAGAACTATTTCAATGTAAGATAAATATGGAGCTCAGTAGACAGCATTAATAAAGGCCATGTTTTAAGCATAGGCTTTACATTCTATTTTTATTGAAATGATTGTTCTTGTAAATGCCTGGGCTTACCTGAATAGGACGATCAATCCCCCTATATGGTTGTGAAGACCTTTCTCCAGAGCTAACTTTTCCTGTTACTCTTACAGTAGCTGTGAATAAAAAGCAATATTGATTTCAAAGGAAATCACGTGGCTTAAGTTCCTTAGATTACCTTCCACGACTGCTATTAGCAGAAATAATTTTTCTATTCAAATAAGATCAGTTCTTACTTCACACAGGTCTCTAACCTCTGCTTACAAACTGCTTGATGTCTCCAGCAGGCGTGCACACGCTCAGCATGCATAAGGCAATGGATGGGCTCTCAACTGTCTGTATTTCAGCACAGAGGTTCACTTACAGCTTCTCCTCATCTCTTAAGAATGTTTACCTGCTTACATCAGCCCAGAGCCTGTACAGCAATTCATGTGACTGTCCCTGCAGAGAGCTGCACGGCCAGGAGAGGTGGATGACTTTGTGCCAAGCCTGGAGCACATCACTGCCTTCCTGCTTCTGTCTCTGGCAGGAAGTACAGCAGGTAGCTGAGATTATTCGGTGGATGTTTCAAGGAATATTTTTAAATGCCATTAGAAACTATAGTGAAAAGAGCATTATATAATGTGGAACTACGCTGCTGTAAAATTGAAATCGACAGAAAAACCCTCCAAGGTCTTTTATTTCTAACTTCATAATCCCCTCATTTCTGTTTTGTTGCCATAAAGCAAACTCCAGAGTGCCTTTTCAGTGCCTTCAATGGTGAATGTATTGAACTGGGATTTTTTTTTTTTTAAGAGATGTTTGCAGGAGCAGTGAAAACCAAAGCACCCGCTTGGCAGACCTCCCTGTTCTTCTCCTGCCTCCTGATCTCCTCCAGGTTGTGTCAAGTTGAGAAGCATGACTTCCAGCTTAGTCGGCAGGTGAAATAAATTGCAGGGGATGATGGAATCAAACACTCTTAGAACTGTTAGAAAGAGCTGGGCTCTAGGAAAATTCAGACCCTCCCCTGCCACCTACTGTTGATAGAAGAGCTGGCAGATTACTTCAGGTCGTGTGTTAGCAGGTCATCTCAAAACTAGAAAGCAACATAAAATTTGCGTGCAAGGACAGATGGTAAGAAAATGTTTGTATCCTTCTTTTAACTTACAGTTGCTTTTTGTGAACGTCTGTATCAGCTATGTGTGTACTGATGACTTTTTATTTTTTCTAAGGTGTAAATTAAGCAACAGGTGGTTTAATCTGCTCATTTCTGATTCCTCCTCGCATCTGAGAAACCTCTTAATCAGTGCTTCTGTCTTTCAAAGGTGTTGGGATAATAATAAAGCATTATGTCAACAGAATTTAAATAGGATTACAGTAATAATTAGAAGCACAACGAGAGCAGGTAAGTTGCATCTTCCTGAAGCACTGTTTGACTTCCACAGGGAGCAGCACAGACCTTAAAGCTGTAGGATGGTAGAGAGGAAAAAGTGCAAACTGTGGTATACTGTGCAAGTTGCTCTCAGATTGTAAATTACTTTGAATACAGTGACAGATGAATCTAGGCAGCAGTTTTTGAAGCAGGTTCAATTGTGGTAATGGCTACTAGAATCACACAGGATGGGTTTGGTGGGGAGGGAGGAAGGATTCGTGGATTCTGAGCTCACATCTCTGCTCAGTCCTGAGAGCACCTCGCTGCAAATAGCTTTGTCAGCCAGATGGAATTTCACTCTGAAAAGTCAGTGTCAAATTCTTCTAATAAAATGTTCTTTTCCCCATTAAAAAATGTTCTCTGCTTGTCTGAGGTGGTCAAATGGGTTTCTGAGCAGCATTTACTGGAATTCTTTTACAGCAGAAAGTCTGAGAAAAGCAGTTCTGCTCTTCTTTAAGAGCACGTTTGGTTTGATCACTTGAAACAAAGCTGACAGGTGAGCTGCAAGAGCAGTTTACAAGCTGCAACAAAAAAAGGACTGTTAACAGAGGTATGTTGAGCTGTTTATTTCACAGTGCCCTTTGCATTTTGCAGATACTGTGCACTAAAACCTCAGTTATTTTTAGGTTTCTGTACTTGGATTTTATTGTTTGCTGCAGTTTGCAGGATAAAGGCTACCTCTGGAGAAGGAAGGAACGTGACAGAGCAGCAGAACCAATGGGGCTGCTGCCATAGCCTGACTCTGTAATGTCAGGGCTTAGAAAAAAAGGTTTTTTATAATTAGCTCACACTTAACAAGCTATCACCCTCAGATTTTGAGAAAATCTGTCATTCTGCCATGTTCTCTTTCTCCAGGTAGGATGGTTTCTGTCCCTGGGGAGTTTAAAATCATTCACCTTCATTAGTGACTATCTGATAACCATTATTTATTAGTGTTTGTTTGGTTTTGGTTTGGGTTGGTGTTTCTGGAAGGGGGGAATCCGTGAGTTCCACAAGGATTTATTATTCTCATCCGTTGCTCTGGAGGAAAATATAACCTCAGTTTTTCTTTTTTAAATGTAATTGGTCTCAAAACATACTTACTGTAATGCAGTTTGGTGGTGGATTTTCTGATTAGTCACAGCCTGATGATGAATACTCACTGCTTTGTCATTTAAAGAAAACAGAAAAGGTGGGACACTCTTAACCATGAAGCAGTTAACCAATACCTCACCCTTTCTGGCTTCGCTGCCTTCCCTGAATTCTCAGCCCGATGTATGCAGTTATTCCTGCAGCTCCCAGCGTTCACAGTTACCCCATGTTTCAGAGCAGGGCTGTGCTGGCTGGTGCTGCTGTAGGTCTGCAGCTCCAGTGGTTTGTATTGTCTGTTTGGCTTGTACTGACAGCGTTCAAAGGTGAAAATATGTCTGTCTCAATGTTATGGCATTTGGCTTTCATTTAGCATTATAGCTCACACGTTATGACAAAAAACACAGGAGTGTTGTGAACCTTACTTATTTTCTCTGCAAAACACACTTTGTCAGCACAGCAAATCAGCACTAGAGGCCCGTTCCAGTTGTGCAAGCCTGCAGGACATTTAGCAACAGTGCATTCGCTTGCATTGAGCCATGCTCTGAATAGTTACTGCATGGTGTTGGCTCCAACTCTGTATTTCCCAGGTTTTCAGAGTCACCCAGCAGTATTTCCATGTAGCTCCATCAGTTTCTTCAGCTATTTCTGAACCACTCTGTTGCTAATCCCTCATCTGGGTACAGCTTGACCCAATTTGCCAGCTCTGCTGATTATGTAAGGAGGAGCAAGACAAGGCATTTATATGAAATACATTGCTTGTGTTATGCGAGGCTGACTTATCTTTTTAACAAGCCACTTGTTCACGTGTGCAAAGTCTTACAACCATTGTTCATCACACTGCTCGCTCTTTAACCTTTTCCCTTTTCACTTTATCACCAGGTGGCTGTGCTTCATCCCAGCTCCTCCTGCTGTCTGCTCCACCCTGAAGTGAGGCCTCAGGTAACTGGCACCACCCCACGTCTCCTGAAGACAAAAAAAAACTGTAAGAATTTTATTATTATGATTTTCCTGACACGTTGCCTACAGCACCCTAGGGAGGCCCTGCAGGGCACAGAGCCTCTGTTCTCTGAGGAGATAAGCGGGCCCTGCTGTGAAAGCATGGCAGAACGGGTGGCCAACACCCCACTCCTCACTGATAAGGTGGTTTGGAGTGCACCTTGGGGCTGAGGAGGCTTGAAATGCAGCAGCAGTGGCTCCTGGTGTGTTGCTGGAGCCCTGGCACACACACAGATGCAACACAAACTTGGGCAGAAAGAGGGGATAAAGGCTCCCTAGCTCCACACTCCAGTAAGGGCAGGATCTGTCAAATACAGAACTGGATTTCTGCTTTGATTATTTGAAATCTGTCTAATCTCCCCTTCACACTCCATAAACAAATGTCAGCAGGGAAGCACGCTGCCTTCCTATGTACAATTAGTGTGGTTCCCTCAGCACTCCTCTTGCTTTCCACCTGTAGTCAGTTCCAGCTTTCTGAGCTCAGGTATTAAAGAGTGCAGAGGAGTGTCTCCCTGCACTTAAGTCACAGCCATGCTCCATCTCCTGGCAGTAGGCATTCAGCCTTTTCTTTTCTCTGTCCTTTGCCCCCCAGTTACAAGCCCAAGCACTCAGCAGGACTTACAGAAATTTGGACCTTGCTCTTATCCCTGAGAGCAAGGCTTTGGTTTGACCTTTCCTATTTGATATGTGCTGACCAGTAGCTGCAGTATAGCCTTCTGGTTTAGACACCCATCTAAAGAGGAAGGATCTCTGTTCTTGTCTCTGCTTCAGTGAGCATCACCTCTAAGACATGGCCATTCACACACCCAGTGCCACCAACCCAGCTCCAGACAGGCTGCACAGATATTGCATTGAAATAAAGGAGAAGATGGCAAATTTTTTTTCCCCCCTGGATAACAGTGGGTTAAGGTGGCTTTGAAGCTGGAGTCCAAGGAAACTGGGGAACCTGAAAGTAATTTATTAACTAAGTCTCTCTAATACTTGCCTAACCTTTAGTACAATAAATCCATTTTAACAAATATTTACACATCTCCTTACTCCCCCAAGCCCCAAAATGTGAGGGGAAAAGAATGTTTTTTTAATCCTCTCCATCCTCAAGGAGCTTGGCCCAGAGGATGCAAATGTCCTCCACTCCCATCACCTAAACTCTTACAGTCACTCTTCTTCTGAGTAACTGTTCTCTTTGCACACTTAAGATGCAACAGGAAAATAGGAGCATTTCAATGATACGTTATCTTTAAACATTAACAAAAAGACTATTCTAACTAAAGCCTTTAATATCTGATATGGATACGTTACTTCTGAGGGCCAAGAACATTTGTGGTTCAACTGCAGGAAACAATCTGGATGTTACAAGTGTGTTATTCCTTTGAAAAAAGAAACAAAACAAAACACCAACCAGGACGTTGCAGACTTGCTGCCTTATTTGGGCTCTTTTTTAGCCTTTGCTATTTTAGAATTAGCTCTTAACCATCTCCAAGGTAACAAGGCATGGGGGAACGTAGGATAAAGCAGTGATGTGGATACTACAAAACACGTCAACAAGAAATTAGAGCGTGTTTATTTCTTCCACCTTTGAAATCCATAGAAACAGATCTCTGTGGGGAGCTGGGGCAGCTTTAAACAGCAGCAAGCAGAGCGGTGCCCAGTGGAAGTAGCAGGAGTACTGGCTGCAGTCAGTGCCCTGTAATCCACACCCTGGATACCTGACTGAAGAGTAGTGAAGGAAAGCAAACAAGAAAAACAAAGGACAGGTTTGGTTTTTTTCCTTCTATCACTGGTGGAAATCAAAAGCTATAGGGAAGCCAACAACAAAAAAGCTGGTCTCCTGCCATTTCTGTTCCTTATTGCTGCTTTTCTATCTAACTGCTATTTCATGTCAGCTGCCAGTTCTGCTTTAGCCTTCACTGCTTGATATTTCAAAATCTGTATGGTAAGCCTGACATGCAGTTCCATTTGTTCTTGTATTTTATTAGGAAGAACTGAAGTCAAATGTGCATGTTAGCTATCAGGGCATCACAGTGGTTACTGATGAAAGTGCATTGTGTTTTTCTCTATTCTGTATTTCAGAACACAGCTATTGGGTAATGAAATAGCAGTAAGTTGTCATTCTGCTGTACTAGCAATCTGACTGTGGGATCTCAGCTATCAAGATCCTTTCAAAAGAAGCAGTGTTTATTCCTGAGCCAACAGCACATAATCAGAATGGTTTTCTCAGACTTTGCTCTGCACTCATTCAGCAGCAAATAAAAAGGCATCGCCTTGTATGTATCTATTCACACTTAATTGTGTGAATACCAACAGAAAGGAGGAACCTGCCAGCAAGCTCAGTTCTTGGAGCACATCATGCTTACAGCCAGCAGCAAAGCCAGTTTTGGAGGACCACTGGGTCCCCCAGAGGGAAACAAGGAGACGTTTCCTCTGGCAAAGGTGCTACTAATGACACATTATTGTCACTTGTGAATGACGTGGTGAAGCATAAGGCCAACATAACCTAGGGATAAGCTGGCAGGCACCCCTGCCTACCTGAACTCATTAGCTTCAGCAAATGACTGCTGCTTACAGTAGCTCTTGGCTTGATGCTCTAACAGGCTGCAGTCAGCACTCCAGGATACTCAGAACCATCTTAAGGCTCTAAGAGAGCAGCTGGCAATGAAACAAAAGTTCTTCCCAAGTTAAGAGATGTAAAACGTTCACAAATCCCTACCTGCTAAAACCACTCCATTAATTACTTACCTATCAATTAGCAACTTCAAGCAGCAAAGAATGAATAAGACTCCATAGAAGGATGATGAGGAATAAAACTGCAAACAAAACATGGCTCTCCAACAGCGTCCTAAGTTATCTTTGGAAAAAACATACATACAACTGTATGGTTCCATTTACTTTACTTGAATTAAATTAAAAAATGTATTTCCATATTACACTTCTTTTGCCTCTGAATCAGTCCTAGCAGAAGAAAAAGTATAACTTTCCCATCCTCTTGAAATTTAAATATAGTAGTCTGTGGGCCCTGAAAAAAAATTGTATTATTCCACTGCAGAATGGAAAAGACCTCAGAAAGAGACTCTGCTGTCAGACAGCACTCTCTTAACTCTTTGCATTACCCTCCACGGCTTCCAGTTTCCAAACAGCACCTAGAACAATCTTCAGAGTTGCTGGACATGCATCTTGACAGTAGAAAATCCAAAACGTGTTCTTGCCCGGTGAACACCGGCACTGTTCATGAAGTCTGAACAGAGTGCTCTTGTCTAACGAGGTTGGCTGAGCAGTCCTGCTTTAGCTGCCAGAGCTTCATTCTGCTGAATGTGATACTCCTGAAATCTCATGGAGATCCTCTGTGTCATTTTCAAATACTTCTGTAGGCAGTGTTCTGAGCAAGTTATCTGGAGGAAGAGGAAAACAGCTTCAAAGAGCGATGAAGACACCTTCCCCAGCAGAACCCCAAGTGCAATAGATTTATAATATTAACTGACTACATCTCATGCTCTGTGTTTAGCTTAAAGCTCAGGACTTAATTGTTCACATTCTCTCTGTGCAGTAGAAAATGGGAAGCTTAGTTTTTGAGGAATGCTTGAAATGTCTTTTAATTTCATTCTTGTAAAAAGGTCTTCGTGGAAAACATCTTAGAGCCAGGAGATATTAACACTTCATTTTCATTCATATTAACACTGCTCTTGTGAAATGGAAGTACACAAAGAATTTTATTTTGCAGTAAATACTAAACCTGAGAAAGGGTTGTTTGTTTTTTTTTTTGTTTTTTTTTTGTGTTTTTTTTGTGTTGTTTCCCTCTTCTCTTTTTCTGAATCCTGGTTTGCAAACACCTTTTTTTGACAGCCAGATCTGCTCTACTGTGTGTTAGCTCAGGTTAATCTTTTTTTGACACTGTTCCTATTAGCTCTAGCAGTCATCTTGTACCAGCCTGGTTCACCTTCACAGAACAGCTCCTGAAGTGCTACCAAACAGCTTGCTGGATAGGGGCACAAACACCAGGGCCTGTTCCACAGCTGCTCTCATGTTTTAAAGTGGGGACATTTTATTTTTTCTTTTAATAATTGTAGAGAAAAACGGGATCTATTTCTGAGTTACAGTTCTACCAGTCAGCTATTCAGTTCCAAACCTTTCAATCACTGTAGAAGTCCTCACACTTAAATACAAAAGATGAGCACTTCTTTGCATGATTACCAGAAAACCAGAAATTGCTTTAATGCTGCTCAGCATGAAGGGATGTGGAAAGCAGAGGTGCTGGAAGAAAAAAGACAATCTGCAACTGTATGTTCTCTCCATTCCACTTTCTCTCTCCCTGACCTGGCATCAGTTACAGTAAAACCTGTTAAGCAGGAGTCAAGTCTGACTAGGAAACAAATCCTGTTGGATTCTAGAAGCACCCCAAGCCATACCTCCCAGAGGGCGTGGTGTCTGTGATACCCTGCCTGGGGAAGTCTAGACTTGTAGTGAAGAGTGTTGTATGGAAAGAGGGCAGCAGCTGCTTTTACAAATGCGGAATCCCCAAGATCCATGAAGGCATTTATCTTAATTATTAAGGAACTACAACTTTAAATAGGAAATTAGGATCAGAGAAGACCAGTCATCCATTTAGACCAGTATTCCATATCCACGAGGGCCACAGCCAGATGCTCTGCAGGAAAAGCATCCTGCATAGCTTAAGCAGCTGAGTTGGTAAAAGACAATGACAAGACCTTATTCAAAGTAGTTCTGACCACCTTCAATCAAGAACATTTTCGACAAAGCAAATACAGAGAATATCATGGGAACAAAGAATCCGTCTTGGGAAGCCAGGAGAGCTTGGTTTAGTGCAGCAAAACAAAAGCTGAACAGAAAGATGATTTCTGCCTGCACTGAGGGACAGCTGTTAAACTTTAAGGAGGCAGCAAATGCTCAAACACAACAAGGTTTAAATCTTTGTGTGTGGTTTAGGTGGTTTTTGGGTTTTTTTGTTTTTTTTTTTCCTGAAGCAGGAAAGCTAGAGTTAAGCAAAGCTATTAGAGTTTTAACCAATTATATTAATTACACCACTCTGAAACAGCCCAGCAAGCGACGAAGGGCAAAGAACAACATGTAACTCATCTGATCCAGAGCCTTTTCTTTTGGCAGGTGGGTACATGATGGAGCTCCCTGCACTGCAGGCAACTGGACTGCACAGCCAGAGCTGTGGGGGCAATACATTTCCACCAGCACACCTCCCTGCCCACTGGGAAGCTGCATGCCAGAACACTTCCACTCCTCCAAAAACAGCTAATGAGCTTTTCAGCTAACTGAAAGATCCAAACTGTCCAAATTGCTTCTGAAATTTGAGTATTAAGCAGAAATTTTAACAAAAGGTAATTAAAAGCATAGGAAACATTTACATACCTCTTCTGGTTTAACTTCTCTGGTGGTGAAATCCCTTATACAGTCCATGAAGCAATTTTCTGTAATTTTATTATATGTTCCCAGGAACTCCTTGAACTGCATTAAAAATTGAAAACACCATTAAAAAATATATATGCATCTCCATTCATTTTTTCTCACACACAGCTCCATGAGCTGTTTGGTGATGGTAACATTCAAAGGACAACTCACCAGAAAAACTTACTGTCCAGCAACATATTCAGCACAAAATGCTGTTAGTGCTTAAATAGGTCCTGTACTGTATGGAATAGGTGTTTTCTCTATCAAGTGTTGCCTGATAGAGAACTAATCTCATCCCGGAGGACGATATAGAGAGCTTTTCCTCCTGCCCCATGCCCTGTACCTTTTGCTCTATGTGACAAAGATACTCAGATGTATCACTCAAGAACACAGCACTTACCTGCTTGATCTGATCAGTTTCTGATATTTGTCCAGCCATATTCTGCTCTCTGTGATTGTCACCTGTTCTGAAGATAAAAGTTGAGTTCTACACAAAAAAACATACACACACACCACAACATTTTTGAAGAGAACCAAGCTGTATGTGTTCCTCAAGTGTACTTAAATACGATGGTGCCAGCAAATTTCAAGCCACCCACATAAAGTTATCTGCCTTGTATTCAGCTAAAAAAATATCCAAGATAGTTCCAGATATTGAGTTCTTTCCAGATTTACCTGCTAACTGCTGTCCTTTAAACACATTATAAGCATTTGGAACTGCTGAAATGACTATATGGGAGGGTGGAGAAAGGTGTGGAATTTTTATAAAGGCTTTCAAATACATAAAGTAAAACTGAAGTGGAAGAGAAGCAAGCAGTAACATTATCTAGCCTTCTAGTTCAATGACTTTAGCTGTCATTTGCAAAAAGAAGAGTAAGGCAAAAAAAATATGAACCAGTGCCAACTCTGAATGAACCAGCATGGATCAGAAATGGATGAATGAATTCAATGCAGCTGCATTCTCACCAAACACTTGAACTATAGCCAGTGTTCTGGTCATTGAATATAGCATGTGAAATTCAAGAAATCATAACAAAATGAGGGCAGCCTTAAGGAAAGAAAAACAGAGAAATGAAAAGGGAAGAATGAGCAGCCAGGGATCCAAGAATTTAAGCAAGCATCCTTAAGGGTGGCTTGCATTCCTCATCTAACACCATAAACAAGTTAAGGCTTGAAAGTACACCTCTACGCAGCCTTCAAGAATAGTGAAAGCATGTTTTCCTTTCCCATGCTTGACATATTACCCAAGGCCTATCACCCATGGTAATGTCAGTTCATGTTACACCTTGAAGAGAAGATGATCCTTCAGTTTTATTCACAGTAACAAGTGGAAGAAAAATCAGTGCCAAATTATAATGACTTTGTGAAGAAAAATCCTTCAGCCCTCTAGTGAGTGAAACTGCTAATTACTGTGAACAAGAACATGAAGAGTTATTTCTACAAGAAAAAGAAAAAGAAGCAATTAAAATAGCACTGTGGAGCTCCTGCAAGCATGCAGCCACCCTCCTCCTCCCAGTAGTGGAACAATGGTAATATCTGCCTCTTTAAGTTACACTTTATTGCTACCTAGGAAGTATGTAGTGATAGAATTCAGGGCTTGAAGATAAGGAGCACGTGTGGTTCTTGGGTTTAAGATATCCATCCCCGTGACCAAGAATGCCTCATGAGTCAATAGATTACTCTCTTTTAAAGAGAACCTATGAAATACGGTTACTGAGAAGCAAAGCATTGCTGAGGCTATTGTAACCTCTCACTTGTTTTAAGAGAAGTGGACACAAATGTCATCTGGGAAAACAACTGCTGAAATGGATGGCAGTTCTACTCTCCTATTTCTCCGTCTGTTACAAGAGAAAAAAACAACAGTGAGAATGCTGTCAATCCACTTTAAGTTGATGATTAAACAGACAGCCCAAGCCCACAGAGAACAGAAAAGACTTTTGTCCTCTCCCAAGCACAGAAAGTTAATAGCTTCAGACCCTCCCAGTGCCTTTCTCACACTCAGTATTGCTTCTCTGTGTTTGCTTACAGCAAACCTGAAGTTCTCCTCATCTGTCACTCGTATGGCAAACTTAAAATTATGCCCAATTGAGCTGCAGCTCCACAAGCTTCCACTTGGGAAGGAGCTGTGACTTAAAACAACCTAATGGCACTGTCTTATTTTACATGTCTGAAGCACCAGTCCCTCCGCAGCTATTCTGTGCAGCACAGGCTTTATATGGCTTTAGTGGTGCGTGGTCAAGGACCATTGGTGACTGCAAAGCCACACTGGAAATCATGTGGATCATGAGGAAAGCAGCAGTAGCTGGGAGGTCCCATCTCAAAGAGCCCTGGTGCTCCTCCAGGTAAGTTGATATGTACCAGAGAGATGTTCTTTTTAAAACAAGACTGTCTGAGCAAAAGCAGGGGGCTCAAGAACCATAGAATGGCTTGGGTCAGCAGGGATCTCAAAGATAATGTGATTGGAGCACCTTCAGGGCAGGCAGGGTTACCAGCCACTACATGGGGCACCAGCTCAAGGTGCACAGAGCCCATCCATGGCCTCGGGCACCTGCAGGGATGGGGCACCACAGCTCTGTGCAGCAGTGCTATGGCCTCACCACCGCCTGATTGAAGAATTTCCCTGACATCTAATCTGAATCTCCTCTCTTTTGGTTTAAAACCACTCCCCCTTCTTCCGTTACTATCAGACATAAAAAGTTGGTTACCTTCCTGCTTATAAGCTCTCTGTAAGTACCGTAAGGCCTCAACGAGGTCTCCTCGCAGCGACAGGGAAGCAGCGATTCCCTAATCTCGAGTCAACAGCATCCTTTCCCATGGAAACAAAACAAGCTCTGTTTCCCCGCCCAGCCCTCTGGCTGCAACTCGCTCCCTCGCCGTCTGTGGCGGCACAGCACCGCCCCCTAGCGGCGTCGTTGTGCAGCGCAGGAGGCAGCGAGGCGCCCTTACGGGGCCTCCCAGACCGCCCGCACGGTAATGCCATCCCAACGGACGAGAAGCGCTTCTCCACGCGCGGCCCGCCGTTTCAGTCAGGCCAGGCCTGCCCGATGCCCGCGGTTCCGCGCGCTCCGCGCCCGCGCTGAGGTAAAGCTCCTCGCTCTTCTCCCTCATCCCTCAGCTCTCCCCTTCAAGGGCACGTCGCGCTCGCTGCCCGCGCAGCCCGAGGACGCGGCCCTTCCCCGCCGCTGAGGGACGCGGCTCCTCGCAGCTCCCGCCCCGCGCCTTCCCGCCGCCCGCGCGCGCACTCACCGCACCACCACGAGTCCGGGCCGCGCGGGGGGAAGGAGAAACTCGGCTACCGGCTCGCCGATTCGACAAAAAGCCTCGCGGCGAATCAGCGAGCGCGCGTTCACCGATAGCTTTACCTCTTGTGCGGCGCGCGACAGGAAGTGCGTCAGAAGGGCGCGCCTGAGGGGGAGCGGGCGTTGTTGCCATGGCGGCAGTCGCTGCCGGCCCTGCCTCGCACGGCCCGTAGCGTTTGCCTTTAAAACACCGCTGACAGTCTATCCGCTATGAAGCCTTCATGGCAGCGGAGAGCAGCTCCAGCACCAGCCAGGACTCGCTGGGCAGCCTGACGGCCGGCGATGTGCTCGTTCGCTCCACCGGTGTCCACGGGGTGAAAGGCTCTGGAGGAGGCGGGTGCGGGAACGGCGTTGCCGTTTGTGTAACGAAGCTCCGTGAGGCGGTTCCGTCTCGCCAGACGAGCGGTGTGGCTTTGGGCCGAGGGGAAACACCGTCCGTGCCCCCGGCCGTGTCATCAAACAGGGCTTCGAGCTGTAGGGTTGCCGATGTCACGCCCTGCAGTGCCGCACCAGGTATTTATTTGTTGTATTTGATTTATTTTTCGTTTGCTGGGCAAATTCGGGTTAGGTTTAATCTACTGTTTTCTGTTACAGAGCGTTGTAATTTTGGAATCCCTGTCTGTGCTCTACTATTATCAACATCAGTATTTTTACAGTGCTTTTCTAATGGCTGTGTTTATTTTCTCAAAGTTCTGTAGCTGTAGCCTTTGGTGCAGAGCTCCTCTAGCAGCCCCCAGTCCTTGTTGTAGATTCCTAGTGCTTAAAAAGCATAGAATCACAGAATGTTCTGAGCTGAAAGGAGCCCACAACCATCACTGAGTCCAACTCTCAACTCCACGCTGCGCCACCCAAACCCAATGTCTGAGAGCAGTGTCCCAAGGCTCTCTGATCTCTGGCAGCTCCAGGCTGTGTCCACTGGCCTGGGCAGCCCATTCAATTCCCACTGCCCTCTGGGACACCGCCTTTCCCTAACCCCCCTCAACCCTCCCCTGAGACAGCTCCATGCTGTTCCCTCAGGCCCTGTTGCCATGACCAGAGAGAGAAGATAAAGTTACCAAATCAGAAAAATTGCAACCATCTGCATGAAAATCATCTCAGGTAGCATTAAATAAACCATTTCTATTTTATAAGGTTCAGGTAGATGATTGCGGTCATAGAATCACAGGATGGCCTGGGTTGAAAAGGAGACCACAATGCTCATCCAGTTCCAACCCCCTGTTATGTGCAGGTCGCCAACCAGCAGCCCAGGCTGCCCAGAGCCACATCCAGCCTGGCCTTGAATGCCTGCAGGGATGGGGCATCCACAGCCTCCTTGGGCAACCTGTTCCAGTGCTTCACCACCCTCTGGATGAAAAGTTTTCTCCTAATATCCAACCTAAACCTCCCCCATCTCAGTTTAAAGCCTTTCCCCCTTGTCCTATCACTATCCACCCTCATAAACAGCCTTTCCCCTTCCTGTTGTTTGTATTATGAAAGTTGTTATACTTAGATATGTACCAAGCAGAGAAAAGACTGAGATTTGGGTTAATCAGGGGACAATGAAAATACATTCAAGATCATTTGAACCACAGTAAAATTGCTTTTATTTTAGGAGTCTGGAGTACTAAGGATCACCTAGAACATTTGCTTTTAGTGGAAGATCCTGTGGAGGCCATGTTTGTACCACAAACGGTAAGAAAGTTACTTGCTTCCCATAAGCCTGAGCTGAGAGATCAGCATTTTTCTCTGAAAGTTGCAGCTTCTGTAGAAGCACAGTAGATCTTGAGCTCCACTTCTGCATGAAAAATACCCAGTTGCTGCTAATGTGATATTCATGCTGAAGTCCTTGGAGGGGATTTATTTACTGTACTGCTGTCTGTTGCATAGTTAAGACCCAGGTATGTTTTTAAATTTTAGTGCAATTCCTCCTCTGAAAAAGCTGTTACACGTTTCATAATATTCATTAGTAAAACCTAAAAGTTCATGGGTTTTTTTCTTATTCACCTCATAGGTATTGAAATAGACATTGATTTTTATAGAACTGTTTAATACTTGTGATTAGAAGGTTTATTTTCCTTTGATTTGTTTACTGTGTCTTTGATACAATGGAGGTCTGCCTGTAGGGCATCCATTCTCTGATGAGAATTATGTTTTTACCTTCTGTCCCTAGAATGTGTAAATTATTGAGTGCAAAGTCCTTGTTACTGCATTGTGGAGTTGCTTACACTTGTGTATTCTGCAATTTTGTCTCCTTGTAAAAATCTGGCCATTGATACTGCAGGCTTTGATGTATGCTTTTCTGCTCTTCTTGTTTTTGAAGGATTATCCTAAAGAAGCTGCAGCAAATCCTAAAGCAGGTCATTCACTGCTGCCAGAAGACAGCAGGAGACCTAAAGGTAACACAAATCGATGTACTGCTACAGTTCTTTTTCCATAAGACTGATAGAGGAGAAGCAGGCTTTAATTGTTTCGTAGATATTTTTCTTCAATATAGAAATTTTTGAGTGCAAGTGTTCCAAAATGGCTTTGATTAAAAAAAATAAAAAAAATAAAAAATTGTAATTTATATTTTTAAATATTGCAAAATTTTACTTTCTGTCTTTTTGTCCTTCCTGTGGATTGTGTAGCCCTTGTGATGAAGTGGGACTCCTACCAGCACACCAGAAACTTCGAGATTCATTTTGCTAATTGAACAAATTCATATTTCTGCATAAAGACTTTCTATATATCTGTTTGTTTATTTGTTTTGAGGACCTTGTTTGTGTGTGTTTTCCTGTTGTAATTCTGCTTCGAGTTCTTATTTTCTCTAAGCATCCTACACCATGAGAAGTAACTTCTTAACTTGTAACAGTCTAGGAAATACATTGTGGATGCCTTTTCCTGTAACATCTGACTGTACAGTCAGTGTCAGTCAGATTTGTGAGAAGTGGTGACTTTTAAAAGGAAATACATCTCTGAAGGTTTTTTGGCTGGATAGGGCAAAAAAAAACCAGAAATGGCTCCCTTTGCTCAAGGCAAGAAGCAATACTTTGGCTTCCTCTTCTATGACTCAGGGAGGCAGCAGCTGTCTGGCTTATCAGCACGTGTGGCTAAATAGCAGCAGTGAAACAGTGAACCCATCACATCTCGAATCAGTTTCACACAACTTCATAGTTGTTTTTTCAATTACATTTATTTCAAGTTGAAATGTGCAGGGTTCCATTGCATACATTGTTTGAGCTTAAGTTGCCATTTATATGACAATCTTTTCCAAATTTTGTTAGGATAGGGTGACATCATTGTCATTTACAGAGCATACAGAAGTTGCTTTAATTAATACCAGTATTCAATACTATGTAAAACTGTGTTAAATGAAATCTACCTGTTGATTCAGTAACTCTTTGTGTCTACTTCTAAAATGGGTGCTTTGTATTAGTTAACCTGAGAAAATATGGTTTATGTCCTTCCACACAGATGATGTTTTAATTTCTCGGTATCCTACTGGCCAGAAAGAAGCATTGAGAGCAGCATTAAAGCAAAAGTAAGTCTGTGTTGTTGTAACATTCTGTTTTTATGTTAATAGTAGGTACTTCTTCATTTTCTGCCAAAACAGAAGAGGAGTCAAGTCTTTGAATGGGTAGATAACAGCAGAACAAGGGGAAATGGTTTTAAGTTGAGGGAGAGAAGATTTAGGTTGCATGTCAGGGGGAAGTTCTTTGCTATGAGAGTGGTGAGGTGCTGGAACAGCTGCCCAGAGAGGCTGTGGATGCCCTGTCCATCCCTGGAGGTGTTCAAGGCCAGGTTGGATGGGGCCCTGGGCAGCCTGGGCTGCTCTGAAATGTGGAGTTGGTGGCCCTGCATGTGGCTTCATGATCTTTGAAGTCCCTTCCAACCCAAGTCATTCCTTGATGATTCTATGAACATGTAGGCTGTCTTTAAAGACCAGTGAGGATATACGCTGTTCATCTGTAGGCTGGAAATCTTCAAGATCAAGAATTATATAGTAGAGCTTTGCTACTAGCACGCTGTTCTTTGCAAAATGCAACTTGTTAAACATATTCTTTGCTGTGGTTATGGAAATACCACATGAAAATGCCTTCTTATATTGAAATCATAACAAAAAATCATAGAATGGCTTGGGTTGGAAGGGACCTCAAAATTATCTGGTTCCAACCCCCCTCCTGTGGGTATAACTCTGAGAAACCTCTGGTGTCATACCAAAATATGGGAATAATATTATTTCATGGGCATCAAAAGCTTGAAGGAGTAATACTTATATAAATGGTGATTCCAGTGTTAAATGTGGAATAAGATCTGTCTGGAGTGGATTTTAAGAAAACAATGTTATTTACAAGACCTTATTTATTTTTACAGAACAAGAAGTGCTCCTGTATTTAAGGAGGTTAAGGTGCAGCTCTTAGGAAATGCCTCCCCTGAAGGAAAGGAAGGTGTTAGTCAAGATGCCAGGTCAATGCACAGGGAAGCTGATTCTGCAACAACCATTGCAGCAGCAACTGCTGCTGCCATTGCTACCACTGCTCCTCTTCTTAAAGTGAGTCAGTAGCTTGTGGTAATGATAATTCTTTGCCCACTTTGAAACAGTAGATCTTCTAAGCAGACTTGAAGTGATTGGTGGTACAACCAAAGTGAATTGAATACCTACTTATTGTTTCCTGTGCTAGTGATCTCAGATATGCTGACCATCACAGCAGAAACAACTGTTTGGGATTTGACTAAATGGAATGTGGCTGCACATGGATGGAGGCTATTCAATTTATCTCTCAGAAGAATTTCATAGTATTGTTAAGCCACCAACATTAAAGCTAACTGATATTTTGTCTGTCTTTTGGGAAACAAATCACTGCTTGATGATGGGGAGGGTGTTGTGTTCTGTTCATGCTTGCACCTCTTTTGCAGCAAGGTTTTTTCTTTTTTTCTTTTTTCTCTTTTCCTCTTAGGTACAAAATGATTTGCAAGC